AATTCTAGGCATGATTGTAGGTACATGAATCAGCCACCCCGGAGAGCGGCTTTAGGGTGTTGCCATGCGACGGTATGCATTTAGGGAGATAGGAAGTTTGATTGAGTCTGTACCCGCCATATCAAGCCCGGGGGGAATTTTCCTATTGAAATTTCACCTGTCCAAAATACTAGTTCCAATTATTGTTTATTTAAGCTCTCCCTCTGACGTCCAAATGAAACGCATCGCGGTAATTTTCTGCGATACGTTCTTTGTTGTATACGCTTGTGATGGTTACTAATTGGAAACTGCGCTGGTCAGTCATTTATCAAGTACACGTGCACGTTAATACTGTTATGCGCGTGTTCATGATTTTGTTTGACAGCTTTAGGGGAGAATGGGCTTTAAGAACTCAGAAGATCTGAGAAGGGCTTAGATCAAAATTGGCTTAAATTGATAAAAACCGTTCAAATAGTTTCTTTTGAATTTCAATTTGCATTCCTATTTTACGCATACAAAGTCTGTAAACAACCTGATTGCCATTACTGCTCGTTCAAAAGCAATAACTAGACCTCCTGCGGTTACTAAGAACATCACAAAATGTCATCAACAGTAAGCGACATTAAATCGGATGGCCTACTAAATTAGAGTAGTCCTTTCCATACATCAGGTGGGTCTGAAGACAAGAGGAACGATGCAATTTGCAACCCAGCTCTGGTTACCTTTGACGTTACAGAGAACGTCAAAATAGCTATTGAATTGACGACCCTCAATTATTTTACGTCAATATCTCGATCGGCTTACGACGATGACAAAGGGCTGTCTTGTTGGTATCGCAAAGCTTTGTGCTTGCAAGTAGCGTTACAATATCGATCCTACGTGCTTGTGCTTAGGTCGAATTAAGGTCTTCCTGTGATTGTCAACTGTAGGAAGGCCAACCGTCGAACCGTTTGTCTTAGGAAGACGGTATAGTACTTTGGAGGAGATCGTTATAGTATTTGCTGACCGCAAGCATTTGTGGAGCAGCTTGTTTGCTAAACAATAGTGTTGTCTAGCTGAAGCGAGGTGTGATCGAGATTACGTAGTGGACAAAGACGTGGACCTCGGTCACTTTATGCTTCCGTTCTAGGACAATAGCTTGACTTGCGTATAAGGGTTGCTCAATATCAACCTACTGGTAAATAGATTACAATATTAGTGTACCTAGTAATACTGCCACAAATAGCTCTAAGTCGTCAGTCTATTCATGTTTCTATTTTACAACTTCATTTTAACTTTGGAAACATATTATATTTATGAAAAACCGCAGAAAGACCTGGAGCAGGAGAAAGAACGGGATTTTCACCTCAAAAAAAAAATACTAACTTAAACTTCTGGTTACCAAAGGCTCTATCCTCCAATTCCGTCATGTCCAAGTCCCATATCCCCAAAACGCTAGCAACGCATTCGCAATTTCTCCAGCGTTGCGGGTGTTATAGACAATGTAAATAGCATACCACCAGGTGATCCCAATCCTCGTGTGCCACCCGAGCACAACTTTTCAAAAACCGAAAGCCAATTTATTAGGCCGCGCCGCCGTATATTAATGTGCAAAATTAGCCATCACTGTTTTAGCCGAGAACGCGAGAAAGCCGTAAACACTATGAAACCAAATGCATACAGCATTACGTTGGTCATATCATCCCGGTTTAGGGTGCATTGAGAGGGACTTGTTGCTATGCCATCGTAATTTATATTCAATCCTGAAAACACTAGCGTTCATCTACAAAGTTCAACTTTATTCCAAACTAGGTAGAGTTCTAAATCAAAACTAACTAAGAAAGGCAAATAGTTGTCCATTCATGTGCTGGTGTATTGTTTGGTATGGGAAACGATATTATGGTGCTTTGCACTTAGAAATCTGTGTGATATAGTTATTTCAAGATATTTTAGCAGGTTAAGGAGCCCGCTTCTCATGGTTGAAGATGCGGTTTCGAAACCTAGCAAGTACCAATATGACTACTTCCAAGATATGTGTACTTTCTATGATAGACATCACTGATTTACGGTCAAGGAAAATGGTGAGGAAACATGAACTTATAATTTCTAATTACTGTCATCGCCAATCCGCCATGAACAAGCGTGGTGATTAATGCTCAAACCTTCTTCGTGGGAGAAAAGGCCTTTGCTCTACAGTGGGTACTTACAGGCTGCTAATTATAAATTGAACGAATGGAACGAACAAAGCCGTGTTTCTCATCATAGATGCAGAATATTATTTTTTCATAAATTTTTAATACTAACGATCTAATTTACTTACTCTGACAAAGTTTTGGTACCTGTATTTCCTACGTGTAAATCCATGTTGACGGGAATCTAGCCCTCTCATAATTACATTGATTTGAGGGATCCGTCGAACGCAAGTGCTAGGGGAGCGGTGACAACCCTAAATTGAGTTAGAAAGCTTTACAAATAAATCGTTCAGAACACGCTAAAATTTATTTTGAAACCTAGGTTTTGAATTAAAAATTCCACTTGGTGACTTGAAAAGAGTTTCACTTGGAGTTTTTTTACGTAGTAACATCATCATCATCATCAGCCTATAAGTGCCCACTGGTGAGCAAAGGCCTCTTCTCACACGGAGAAGGTTAGAGCATTAATCACCACGATTGCTCAATGCGGGTTGGTGATTTCAAACTTATAATTAGAAATTATAAGTCCAGGTTTCCTCACGATGTTTACCTTCACCGTATGTCAGTGGTGTCTAAATAATCATAGAAAGTACATATAACTCGGAAAAAGTCACATTGGTACTTGCCAGGTTTCGAACCCGCACCCTCATGCATGAGAAGCGGGCGCCTTAACCTCCGGGCCACCACGACGTAGTAACATACTTAATTTTAATGTCGTTGGTCGTGAAGGTAATAAAATAGTGTCATTTCTTTTATGTGTGTTATATTTTTTTTATTGTTTTCACTGTCATGTCTTTTATTAACACGTAAACTAACAAAGTTTTTCAAAAGACTCATTTTTACAACATTTCTATGTTAATCGGTTAAAAAAAACATATAATGATATTTTAAATATTTTATACATATTTAGTTTTCGAATATCACCATTACTCGGTTCGTGCAAAAAAACTTAGCCTTTTTGTTGGGTTTTTCTAACTTTAAAATTCAAACTTTTTTGTTTTTTTTTCTTAAAAGTATTTGCGGTCAGTTGTTAAAAATATCTATATCACGATTACAATAAAAATTTAATTTTAAAATTATTCTATTTAAAATACAATATTAAAAAGCAGTTACACAAGTAGTGTACATGGAATTTTCATTGGAAACCATTTGGAAACGCGCTGTATCTTTTGAGTATTTTTCCGAGAATTGTTAAAAAATATTAACTTTATTGTTTTTTCACTGGAAACTCAGAAAGTCCAGCTTTCAAGTGGGATACTTTAGTGTTTCAACATAACGAGTACCGAAATACAAAGCTTATGTTTCAAAGAACGCTGAAATTGACTTGAAGTATATTTTTTCGTTTTCAGTCATTGAAAAATCATCTCAATATATTTTGTAGGATAGGGATAGCAAGCGAGTAGATGGATGAACGACAACTAATTGTAAGCTATCGACGCCACCCACATTCTACAAGTGCACTACTGGCCTTTTGGGTTTAGGAAATTGATTTTTCACCTATTTACTACGTACCTAACTGCACACATCGTGACCATCGACGCATAAGTCGAATTTTATCCATCTCGTCTAAACAGGACACGATTTTATGAATAAGATCTAATTAATTATGCCTATAGAAGTTATGGACCCTTCAACGGACACTAACTCTGGGCAACTCCAACAAATAATCAAAAGCGACAGACCATATATCTCTACCTAGGTTTAAACCAATAATCGATGAACAAATGACTGTCGATTCTCAAAATTAGAATCAAAATCTCCTCTCCTCGTCTCTAGCGATGACGTAACTTTTATAACATAAAATAAACATATTGGCAACTGTGATCGAGTTTTGACAAAAACTTTGCTTTGAACTCATAGTAACACAGATGCTATCTGCCATAACTAAATTTTAAACTGAAATTTACACTGTAGATGTATTGACTGTTGATTGAGAACTCCATGTGACTTTCAAACTTTGCTTGAAGATACGGTCAGCCAAACTTTGCCCATTTAATTATCGAATTGGCGCGGACGGTATGGAAGTGCATCGAATAATATATTATTCAATCAATAAAGTCTTTGGTAGTTGTTATGTTAGCTTCATTAAGTGTTTAGGGAAATAATGATTTTTAATACTTTACTTTTTAAGGGTGTTTAACGCGCACACAATTTGTTTGTTTTTTTGACTGATATTTCGGCCAGGTTACACCTATCATCAGTCTACTACTTACATGCAGTCAACTCCATTCATATAATCAATAAGCAATAAGTCAATGTGCTATTAAGAGTAAACTGACATTTAATAGACAACCACATTTCCCAAGAAATGACTCGGGTTATATCCTCATTTAAATAATACTTATATACATATTTCACCTACTCTTCTCTCTTTAAAAATTACAGATTTCATTCATTCATAGATTATTAAGAAATAAGTATTTTTTTTTAATTTATGATATCCCGAGTTTGAGCATAGAAAAGTATCAGTTTATGCATCTACGACGTTGACTCAATTAAATAATAATTATGATGGAAAAATTATTGTATAAAAAACTTATTTTTATTTTTAAATGCAACACAAAATATGAGTATAAATATTCTTGTAAGGGCTGATTTTTAAATAGTCAGATAAATGTTATATTATTATGAAGAATAAAACTGTTGCTGTCACTGTCTTATACTAAAATTCTGATGCGACAACAACATAATTATTTCGCAGATAACTTTTATCTAACCTTTGAAAAATCAGCCCTAAGTCTTTGTTTACTAAAGGACTAAATTAAATGCTAATTTCCGTACTAGTCATGTATCCTACAGGATGCAGTTACAAAACACACCCCGAGGACGTATCCTTCTTTGTTACGGGGCATGTTGCGATTTAATTCGACGCCAACGCCCTCTAGCCTCCCGTCTATGCCCTGCGGCAGTACTAAGCTTAAGTAAGTGAGTTAATAATGAATGTGCAGATCACTGGTGCAAGAAATCAGAACTTAATTGCCCCTGCAATTAGGCTCTAATTTGTTAATTGGTCCTGCTCTACCCTGTTTGAGTTTCCTCATTCTCTAGACTTTAGTTTGGAACGTTTGTTTGACTAAGCAACTATGTTGTGTGAAAAAGGCTAAACTTGTTCTGTGTTTGAAAAATGTTGAAGTATAGTTTTTCAATTTACATGATTAAGCGCTATTTCATATATAGTTAATCATATTTTAGTAAAAGCAAATTGGTCTCAATCAAGGTAATGTAACTAAAGATAGAGACGGTCCTCCGTATTTTATTTCTAGAATAAATACTTTATGCTGTTTTATTTAATTATTTTTTTATGTAAAAATAATATGTTATGGTTATTGCAGACAAACTCGACGAGAAAAATTGCTCGTCGGGTTCAAAGAAGTGATACAACGGATCACAGAAAACTGGCGTGCCTTTACACTAGCGTTGTATTTTTCTTTGAGTATGAGGTTAGGCCAACCCCAACTCTCCAAATCCTCAAATCTCTGACATCCGAAAGGCCAGTGAATGAACGAGATACACCGATTACTTAAATCAGCTTGTTAGCCGACCTATCCCATAGAAAAACCTACTCAGTCAACACTGAACATGTATTATAATGTTTTAAGTATAGCAACAGTTGACTGAAGTTATATTCTTAAGTGTGGGAGAGACATGCGTCGGCACGAATAGGTCGGCTCGACCGGAGTGATACCACGGCCTCACAGAAAACCGGCGTGAAATAACCACTGCGTTGTGTTTCGCCGTGTGAGTGAGGCTACCGGAGGCCCAATCCTTCCGCTTCCGCAATCCCTCCTCAATCCCTAAATCTCCAAATCCCTAATCCCTAAAAGGTCGGCAACGCACTCGTAACTCCTCCGTTGCGAGTGTCCATGGACAGCGCTGATTGCTTACCATCAGGTAATCCGTCTGCTCGTTTGCCGAGCTATTACATAAAAAAAAATAAGAAATGCTACCGTGCTAAGCCGGATACCGAAGGGCGAGATCTCGTCTAGACACTTCAGACTATGCAAAAGTTTTGTTCCCACTTTGTTCTCAACCTGTAATATGTCGGCAAACGAGCGAGATGGATTACCTGATGGTAAGCAATCACCCGCAACAGAAGAGTTTCGAGTGCGTTGACTACTTTTTGGCTAGTAAGGAATTGGAGATTTAGGGATTGGGAGAGGGAAAGTATTGGGCCTTCGATAACCTCACTCACACGGCGAAACACAACGCTGTGGTTGTTTTTTTATGAGGCCGTGATCACTCCGGTCGAGCCGAAGCATGTTGTCTTTTAGGAACAAAATTGTGTACTGCGCAGCTAATCGGCTAACTTCAGACTCGCCAAAATACGTTGGCGGTATTGTACTCATTTTTAAGCAGTCAGCCAATCATTATGAATTTTAATACGCCACACGTCATATCTGAAACTAATTACAATTCAATAATGATTAGTTGCAATATAAAAAAACAGTTATTGAAATCTAAAGATAACCAAAACGAGTCAAGCCTCATACGAATAACATTAGATAAATGAAATTATCAACAATCTTGGCTCATGACAAGTAAACTTCCAAAACACGATAACATCAGCCGATCCCTAAAACTAAGCAGTAAATAAAATATTACTGATAAGGTGTGCACTTGAAGTAACATTGATAACAGTAATAGTTAATATATATTATAACTCTGTGTGTTTTGTGTCAGTAACTTGTTCATACTCGGAGCTACAACTCGTTTAAAAATGCCGATCTTAAAAATATTTACTAATTTGCCTAAGAGCAAAATTCCCGCTGACTTTGTCAACAAAATTCTTCCTGTCCTGTCCCGAACAGTGAAGAAGCCTGAACACGTAAGTAATTTACAATTTTAGACCTAAAATCTTTACGGCGATAGTCTATTTTTATTTAAATGTTGTTTTGTATTGGTTGCTAAGCGCAAATGTTGTGAACGAATTTCGATAGTATTTTTATGTTAATATTTTATACTTTGAAACCAAAAGAGAAGTTTTTATTTGTATTAATTAGTCTTAGCTAAGTAAATATATTGTGTAACGCATACAGATTACATATTAAGTACTGTATTAACTAAAAAGATATAAAATATGTGGTTCTGTATTGCTGAAATATAGGACGAGATGCAACTTTGCAAGAAAATAATAACCAATTTACATATGAACAGTTTTGTTTATCTCTAGATATAAATATTAAAAAAAACTACATATCAATACTTTTAAAACATTGCGCAATCGATAAACATGCGAAAACATTATTTACATAATTATATTACTGTTTTATATTATATAACAATTCTTGTTATCAGCAGCAATAATAATACTACAGGTGGTACACTTTAAAAACAATATTTATTAAGGTACACAATCAAAAAAGTTTCTATGTACAATGTAAATATATATTTACATAGAATTACCTAATAGTCCAGATATTTCTTACGAATTGTTAAAATTTTCTTTATAGTTTTCCGTTTCGACAATTTGCTTAAGGATAAGAGAGAACTGTGTAATTTATTAAAAAATATCAAACGTTTTTTTTATTAATTGCCAAAGAATCTCGCTACTTAGAAAATAATACTTAAGTTATAGACAAAATGTTTCAGGTAAGGCTGCAAAATAAATTAGTAAAGCAATCTTTAATTTAAATATCTTTTACTTTACTAATGTATTAGTTGAAATTCATCTTTTAACATAAAACCTTAGCAAATGCGACTAATTCATAATTATACCTAATCAGGGTAAACATACTACATCGATACAAAAAATGAAATGACGAAAGAAATTAAGTGTGGGAGAGCCATGCTTCGGCACGAATGAGTCGTCTCGACCGGAGTGATACCACGGCCTCACAGAAAACCGGCGTGAAATAACCACTGCGTTGTGTTTCGCCGTGTGAGTGAGGTTACCGGAGGCCCAATCCTTCCCCTTCCCCAATCCCTAAAAGGTCGGCAACGCACTCGTAACTCCTCCGTTTCGAGTGTCCATGGGCGGCGCTGATTGCTTACCATCAGGTAATCAATCTGCTCGTTTGCCGACCTATTACATAAAAAAAAAAATTACCACTAAAGAAGTAAATTACCACTATTGAATTCAAATCAATGTCGAGTTCAAAATCGACACCAAAGTCATATCAATCATTTGCAACTGATGATGATGATGATGATGATGAAATGATGTCCTCTTTTCACAGCTTTTCATCTGCATGGTGTCAAGTGACTGTTCGTTGTCCTTTGGAGGCAATTCCACGTCCCCCAGCGCATTGGCTACCCTGGAGTCCATTGGCAACTTAGGAGTGGAAGAAAACCGAGTCATTGCTAAGGAAGTCACTGATTTCATTGAGAAGGAACTTGGGATTGCCAGAGATCAGTAAGTAGTTGCCTTTTTTATGTAATAAGTCGGGAAACGAGCCTACGGATTACCTGATGGTAAGCAATCAGCGCCACCTGTAGACACTCTTACCACCAAAGGAGTTATGAGTCCGTTGCCGGCATTTTTGGGATTTGGGGGGAAATGGGAAGAATTGGACCTCTGGTTACCTCAATCACACGGTGAAACAAACACTGTAGTTGTTTCACATTTTGCATCAAACGTAGAGATTCTGGTTCCCTGGGATCCGTGAGGCCTTTATAAAAGCGAATAGACAGTCAATTAGTAGATAAGAATGACTTGCGTTTTTAAATTAATTCATGGTAGGAACAGTATAATGTAAAAAAAAGCCATCGAATGAATTGAACGCTTAAATTCTTGGATACACAAACAACATCACTAAATCCCTGAATCTGTAACCGCACATTTATTTGTCACCATTCACACTAATGTAAACAATATTATTAAACATTCCAGCGTAGCTAACGTGTTTAATTACACAATTAATTTCATCGTGATTACCACACAAATATTGCCAATATTTGAACGCTTCGAAATGACCAGACGGGAAAATCTGGAACATTTTGACAAGTGCACTCGATGCCACACTGCCTAAGCACACTTCATGTGCTGTTACCATAATTAATATGCACATCGGCTGAGCATGAAGCATTACTCAAAACACATGGTTACGCGTACAGCCACGCCTCAAAAATGTGATCATAGATTCCAGTCAATATGAACGTAGTGGTTTTGAATTTCACGTCAAAGCATTCTCAACAAAACGGGCACACTCAAATAGGTATTTGAAATGCATTCACGCGCTCTCATAGGCACTAATTACAAAATACCTTACTCCAATTTCAACGATAGACTTGGTTCATAAGCGGTGTAAACAAATTTCTACCCAAAGGCTGCTGTTATAAAAAATAACATACCTATATCGGCATTACAAATCATAAAATTGTTAGCATGACAAGACGGAATTAAGCCCGGTTTCCACCGCGAGCGGAACGGACCCATTAATGACTTCGTTAAACTCGCAAACGCAAACTGCAAACTTGTATTTCCACCAACAAATAGTCGGACGGAAAGAGCCGAGCGTGTAGAAAGAGTAGAAATGAGCTCGCTCAGTTCTAGGGAGCGGAGCGGAGTACTTACGGACTCCGCTTAACTCGCAATTACAATTTACATGTTAGCGTTTCCACACAGAAAGTGGTGAGCGGGGCGGATTGAGCGAGTAAAAAGAAATTGAAAAGAGTCCGCTGCGCAAGGCCTGCACCGACTAGCTCAGTCCGCTCATTTCTCTATCTCAGTTTCCTTTTGCAGTGGAAATCAAATGACCAACTCTTCGTTGGTGGAAACGCAAACCTATTTCAGTAAAAACCATTTTGCGCACATTACCCTTTCGTAGTGGAAACCGGGCTTAAAACATACAGATATAACATTTCTTTGTGACAAATAGTTTCCTACTCAGAACTATTTTCTTCCAGTTTTTTGAAGGGTTTGTCGAAAACGTTTCTGCTGTGTTAGGTGCTTGTGCTGTGTAAGGTTACCGCTTCGAAAATATCAAACATCCAATCTATGGCTATGGCTTAATCAACAACAAAAATCGTCAACCCTAACAGTCTACTGGGGCAATGAGCCTTTTCGACTCTGCGAATAACCGTTGCCTAATATTCTCGCTTGCTATTCCGCACACCAATTGATCTCTCAAGCTTTCCTCCAGCCAACTTTCGAACTCACAGGTCTTCGACATTTTCTTAAGTACCGCCACATACTCGGATATGGTTTCACCGTCTTTCTGTTTCCTATGCCTGAACTTGTATCTCTCAGCGAGTTCACTTGGTTTCGGTTGTAAATGTTTGCCCATTATTTCTGATAACTGTTCAAATGTCTTCAATTTCGGTTTATTCAGTGTACACAGATTGACGGGCAACTCGTAGCTCTCGGCTCCCATCACGGTTATTAATGTTGGCACATGTAATTCGGCTTTTATGTCGTTTACAAGGAAGTACTGTTCTAAACGTTCGACATATAGTTTCGGTGGAGACAATCTTATATATAACAAAATAATTTACTACCACCCACTTAACCTAAATATAAGACATACATCACAATTTCCTTATTCGATTCTTAGCCAGAAAAATAGTAGTGGCAACAACCAGCGTTAAACAACCACAGCGTTGTCTTAGTTGTGTGAGTAAGGTCACCAGTGGCCCAATCCCTCCACCTCCCCCTATCCCTTCCCAATTTTTAAATATCCAAAACCCTTATCCCTAAAAGGCCGGCAACGCACTCGTTTGATGTTGCCTATCCATGGCCAGATTGATCGCTGATTCTGATTGCTTACCATCAGGTACAATCAATCCTTTTGCTCGTTTGTACGTTTGTATTGTATTGTGACGTCACCAAACATAATTCGATCGTTTCAACTTCCAATCAACATGGTACTAATATAGTGCATTCGGATATTTTGGAAATAAGCTTTGTCTATCACAAAGGGAATATATCCTTTGATAGTACGTCAGGCTTACGACATTATCGATGAAACGCAGATTTCCTAATGTACACTATGAACAATTGGAAACCTATATACGGTTACTCTATTGCTATTATCACTTGATATTTAAGTCATCTGGAATATTTACTTTCATGTCATGTGACATTTTGTTATAGATTTTTGAATAAGGTTTCGTAAATTTCCTCTATGTATTATGGTTATCAAAAATATCCATCCAATCCAATTTAAGTGATATTAAGTCCGACTTTGATGTTAAGTAGCTCATTAGTGTAGCCCATTAAAACTTGCAACACTCGTAGGGACAGTTAAAAGAAAGCGTTGGCGAAGTTTTGAAGGAGGATAAACACCACGTTGTCTTTGTCTAGTTACACGCTGGATTTACTGAGAGGCTTTTTTATCTATGGGCCATACCTCACCGAGATGGTATGGCGACGTGGCCTGCGACGTTGCCAACTAGTTCATACTGAGATCTATGACGGCTAATTCACTTGGCGACCGACTGGCGGCGTTGCCAAGTAGCTAGAATAGCCAGAGTCGACCGCCCCACTATTGCCACCAGGTCTCTCCGACGAGAAACTACTGCTGCGATACAAAATTTCAAAAATGTATATCAAACATTTTGGACAAATACATATATGTATTCATAATACTATTTCTATACTTTCAGCTTCCTGATGTCATTCTATGACAAGAGAGGCCGTGACATCGCCAAGGGTGGAGTGACACGCTTCCCTGCCACGTAAACTGCCCACTTTTAAATTTTAATAATATATTTTATGTACAATAAAAATGTTATAATGTAAATTTATATACTACGATAAATGATAGCAGTTACAAGAACTTAGGCTATTATTATTTTAGACTACAATTTTAAATAATGTTCTAAAGTATGTTTTACAAGTAAAACAATATTGCTATAATAATAATAATATTACGGTTATGTGTTTTTTTTTTCTCATCTTCACATTCACTCATCGGGTTACTCTCACTCACTCACTCACTGGTCGGGTTATTTTAGGCAATATTAGCAATTTCCAGGTGGTGCCGAACTTTTTAATACTTAACCGATTGCCGACATCCTTTCTTTAAAAAAAAAGGCGGTCCTATTCCAATAGGATTCCTTCCGAGTTATATTTTTAAGATTTTTTAGATATCTTGACATACGTTGAAGGAAGGCGTAAGCAAATATAAACTTACACTTTCTTAATATAAATCTGTGAAAAGTGGTCATCAAACTGAAAATGACACAATTACACCACTACAACCGAACTATATTACATACCTATTTAAAATATTGGCTACTCTCGCGCGGTTTCACCCGCTGCTCGGCTCCATTTTATCGTAGCGTTTTTTATAGATTTTTTTATAGCCTATAGCACTCAGGAACATTGTAGCTATCTATCAGTGAAATAATTTTGGCAATACGACCAGCGGTTCCAAAGATAACCCCCTACATTCAAACTTACAAATTTTACCTATTTATAATATTAGTATAGATTACTCTTTTACATTAACAATACTTTTCATATTTAAGATCAATAACAAACATAAAATGAAATTCACTACACTGCATTCGAAGGGTTTTAATTACGATCAGAAAATTAATCAACGCAAACAATTTTATTTTCACAATTTGAAGTAAAAACACATCAACAGTTCGATTTTACGAAAGTTCAACTCTTTCCCCTTTTACGGGGGGATTACAGGTGGGGCAGAAAGGGGTGAACTCCCCCACCAGGGTACGAACTTACTACGAAATAATACACATATAAAACATTGCAGGTTTTAATGAGAACCTTTTGGTGCAATATATAATTTTTATGAGTTTTTGTGAAAAAGGTTGAATGTTGATGAAGGTATTATCTGTGACGGAAGGCCAAGTTTTTGCAGTGGACAGTGAAGGGAGAAGGTGGTCGTTAACTTTTCCTTAATTAAAGTAGTAACTAAATATAAAACATTTTTTTACCTGTAGAACTTCAATTTAAAATTCACTACAATAACAATTAAAATTAAATGTACACTAGCTATCAATAATTAATAACACTATTGAAAATTTTCATATTTTAATAATTTTCATTAGACTGAAATAATATTAAATTTTTGACGCAGTACGGACTTCTGATCAACTGCAATGTGGTTATTAATATGAGAAAACTAATATTTGTGTATAATAAAACTCTAATTTTCATTGTGAATACAGAATTTATTGCACATCAATACTAGTACTACATATATTCTAAGACTACTAGTTAATCTAACATTCATTGTTCCTCACCATTTTCCTTATTGACAATAGCTTTTAAAACACTCTCTCTAACAACAACCCCTTCTTCATCAATCCACGTAACTCCGTTAATGTCTTTCCATATTCCGCTCTTTGGAATCTCATTCTCAATTATTTCTTCTTCATCTTCTTCCCAAGATACAGACTCGTGCATAACATCTACAACTGAAACTGCTTCTTCTTTTATTTTAAGCTTAGGTACATTTTCTTCTACTTTATCCACAATCCCAGTAGGTTCAGAATCCTCATCAGTATTGGATTCAACTTCAGCTTCTAGTTTGGACTGCTTTCTTTTTATTCTTTCAGCTCGTGCCTTCCATCTCTCTAAGTTCTTTAAAGCCATCGCATACATAGGTCGCGTATTTGGAAGGATTCTGTACAACATACTGTAGCAAGCCACGCAGATTTGACTGAGGAAACCAACCTGGGAAACAAATAAAGTATATGTAGGAGAGATACTAAACTAAATCATGTACTAATAGTCCTTATTCTATACTAATTATGGCTATGATAACACGTCATGCTTGTTCCAACAATGCATACCTACTGTATTACGACCGCTCAAAACACAAATTGTTAATTTAAACCATTAAAATAGTGTTTATCGGCAGACCGCATTACGGAATACTCTAGGGATTATAGTCCCATACCCTCAAAGGGAAAACATCATCAACTGATTATAACAAAATATGATATTGGAAATAACGAAATATTCATCATGTTGTACCACTATGAAACTTAAGCCTCTTATATTGGAGGTAGACAGAGGTAAAAAAAAACATGCAAAGTAAATCCAAAAAGTAGCGAAGCGGCTACGCTATCTGAATAAATTATTATTGAGAGTGCACTCGTTACTTTTATCTGCATTTATAGCCAAGGCATTGAAGGTTGTGTGTTCATAAAATACTGTATAAAATAAAATGGTTCTAAAAATTCTATTAAGTATGTTTTTATTTTTGTTAATCTGTGAATTACTGTGTTGGTTGCATGTTTACAATGTAGTATATTTATTATATCTGTGTTTATTCATGAACATGCAACTATGTTTTGTTCAAATAAATAAAAAAATACGCAAACAATTTCATAATTACATAATGAAACGCTCCGATAGAACACATAGTATCCGCTAATCGGAAACTAGCAAACGTATGTAGAATCCACTAAAAAACATTATTATTTCGCAGATTTGCTATTTGTAATACAGAAGCGAGAAAGAAAAAAAACCAAATGAAACGCACCGGTCACTGTACAAATTTTTCGCCTTCGTCAAAGTGAAAAAACCGTCCAAACGGACTCTACCCTTTGAAAAACCACAACTCAGTATTTTCAACGTTCAATTTTGGGGTGGGTGTAGGTGGTACTCAATCAGCAGGGCACTAAGGCTTCGGATTGATGGCTTAAAGGATTACTGAATATGGTGTTTCAATTAGTAAGTGCTAATGGAATGATTCTGTTCGCATCTCGGTGTGCATAATAACCAATGTGTATTAATATCCTCGTTAATAATGTAAATCCAAAAGTTTGTTTGTTTGTCTCCCTGTCACCTTTAGTGTTTGATTTTTTGTTTGATGTATGATATTCGCTCTAGAGCAGTAATTCTCAAAGTGTGCTTTGTGTGTGACTGGGGCTCCGCACTAAGAAACAATTATGTAGGTAGAAGAAGTTACAGAAGTATGTAAATACCGTGTTTCTGTCTCTGCCTAGCCAAATGGGAGAGGCGCGTATCGATATATTTGTAAGTATGAAATAAATTATTATGAAATGATTAGGATTCATTGTATTAAAAAAAAACTTTTATTTTAAAGTTCCGTCAAAAATTTGAAAATTTTTGCTTGGGTTTTGCGTCCAAAACAGTGTGAGAAGCTTTAGAGTTAAAGTTGAAGGAAAGTATACATAATTATATATATTACATTTATTTTCATGACCCAAGCAAAGCTGCGAATAAGTAAAATGTTTAAAGGGATTGATATAATTTAAAACTTCTCAGTCTGCCTTTACTGGCCCGTTTTACAGTGACTATATAGCCGCAAATATAATAAAAGGATGGTAAAACATTACCGATGTATACTGAAATTACGACTATCGGCGACTACAACATTTCATTGAAGCCAGCCAGCAGCGCCATCTCTTGATACAAGTTAAAACCGACACTTTTGGACAGCGATAAATTCATATGGAAATTGTATCTCTTTGTAGTGTTTTTAGATTTCTCAATAAGGTAATGGTCAATAAGGTGTAGGCGTTAAAAAGTGTCACTTTACCCTCAGACGCATTTTTTCAAGAAGATGCATTTGTGAAGCGATATAAATTTTGGCGTGCTCTCTTGACGGAATATGACTGCGCAATGATTTAATTTGGGCATCAGAATGTTTTCCATCCACCAGCCTATAAGTGCCCACTGCTGAGCAAAGGCCTTTTTTCACACAGAGACAGCTTGAGCATTAAGCACCACGCTTACTCAAGCCTGATTAGCGATTTCAAACATATAATTAGAAATGATAAGTCCAGGATTCCTCACGATGTTTTCCTTCACCGTTTGTCAATGGTGTCTAAACAATCATAGAAAGTACATACCTATAACTCGGAAAAATTCACATTGGTACTTGCTAGGTTTCTCATGTCTGAGAAGCGGGAGCTTAACCTCCAGCCCTCCATTAAATTTTACAAGTAGTGAATAGGCTAAAAGTATGCAAAGTTTTAAAGACTTTCTAACAACAACAATAACAACGCCAACATTTCCATAAGCTAACATCACAATTCAATGTTCGATCATGTTCAATTACAAGCAGAATGGCCGCGGCTAACTACATGTCAGGTTAACATAGAAATCAATTAACGTTTCTACATGGCGAGTGATCGGTATGGTGAGGGCCAGTAATCAAGGATACTCCAATTACCTAATAGGATACTAGTAGATACTCGCGATTTGACGTCACATTTCACTCCTTCCAAACAAAAGAAAACAAATGAGCAAATGTTTTTTTTTCATTGTATGGGATACGGTTTCAAATGGTCAGATAGATTATCTGATGGTAAGCAATGACTGCTAGAAGAGTTGCACCTCTGCTTTGCTATGTCGGCCTTTTGAGAATAGGGCCCATTTTTGATTGGAGACGGATGCTGAGTCAGGAAATATTTGGGCCTCCGGTGACCTTACTCACAAGGCGAAACATAACGCTGTGGTTGTTTCACTTCGAGTTTCTGTGAGGCCAAGAAATTTATGGTAAAAATTATATATCGTGTATCTTATTCATAAATTAATTATGACCATGCACTTACAGCAAGAAAAATAATCATGTTTATTGAATGTGCCACATTTGAAAGAAAAATGGTAATTTTGGGATATGTTCGGTATTCTAAAAATATTTAAGTAGAAGCGAAAGCTTGGAGAACAAACAGACAGACACACGTACACGGAATATTATTGTGATTAACATGGGTGGATCAAATGGCATACGGCCTATCTTAGAGGAAGGTAATTGGAAATTAATTGTACGCATCCCGGTACAGAGAAATTGGCAGGTGATTGTTATGTGGAAACTATGCACTACATGCCTTATTTAGTCAGGCATAGACAAGGGGAGATAGCTGGGTTAGTATGTTGAGTTATGTAGCGCGCTGTGTATGATAAAGATGTCTTTTCAAATTAAGTGTAGTAACGTTTGAGATTCCAAATAATTAATCAGAATTAATTAATCAGAATTCGACAAATGACATATCATTAGAAACGTCATAATTGTCCGCTGGTTATAGGCTATATGTGTTTTCACAAAATTTAATGGCGTCCTCTAGCAGACATAACATACAGAGTAAAAAAATAAATAAAATTATTATTTGCAACTGGTAATAGAAACATTCTCAAGATTTGAAAATTGGACTCCAAGATTTGTGTATAATAAACTCACTTCTCTTCTTAATCTGTAGTCTTTGTTTCATTTACAACTAAATTTAATATAATATTTTCTTTTTCTGGAAAACTTAAGAAATTTTCTCTTTCGATACGAACATAGTCTTCGCTGTTTTTCTCTGTTATAGTTACGGACAGTATTAATTTCGTATAAGTATAAACAGCCAATTACTGAACGTTTCCATCGTTTTGGGTTTCATGTTTGTTGATTATTGCCAAAATAAATTGTTTTGGTTTCATAAAGATATTAATTGGTTGTTTTGTTAGTTTTTCTTTTATTGTTTTCTTTCGTCCGCCCTCAGACGACCAAATATAGAATGTTAGTTGTAACGTCCAAAAACGCGATTTCGTAAGCTTTTTATCTTCATGAAATAATCAGTAAGGACTATGATTATGTTCCTCATCATCTGGAGCGAAAGAATTTCTAGCTGTCAAACGGACTGGCTGTTAGAGGTTGATTTTTCAATGGTAAGCATAAAGTTACCTGAGGAATAATTATGATGCTGTTGCGTCAAAATGTTTATGTAAGACAGTGACAACAACAATTTTGCAACAACTTCCTTGAGCAAGCCTGCTGATTAGTGCTCAAATGTTCTCGGTATAAGAAGAGGCGTTTGCTCATCAGGGTACCTATGGGCTCATGCTGATGACGTCGATAACATACTAGTTTCATGGCCCAACAATGTTTAGACATATACGTTCTCGTGAAACTATCGTGTACCCTTGTTTTTTTACTAGAGATTACATATTATTTTTATTGGCACAGAGTATTATGTTTTAGCTCCCGGCTCTAGTGTCTAATTAGTAATGTTTTTCTGCGATAACAATTGCCAATATTACATTACAAAAACATGTTTGCTTTTTTAGGAACTTTTACATATATTTTCTTTTTCTTTTAGTTGTCATAAATAGATTTGTTATGGATCTGATTTCTAAATAATTGCCTACATGTTTGCTAGTTGGTAGCGGATCATGTGTCCACCTGTGGGATGGTGGGCTCTTTTTTACTTTGTTTTTTTATGATTTCTATTTTTACTGATCTCACAGAAGCTTCAATCCAAACGTCCATAGATATAGATTCATGGGACAGAATATGCGAAAAGTATAATCATTTACTTATGTACCCACCATAAAATGGTATAATTACTTTTCTAACTAATCTCGGTAAATTAATAAAGTGGGCGAGGTCATCTTAAACTAGGTATAGTTTGATGGTAAAAATGGTACATCTTTACAATAATTCCAGAAATGATGACCATTATTTTGATGACGTCTACGTGCTGTAGCATAGGCCACTAGATAAGTAAAAGGGCAATACCTTAAATTGCTTTCTGTTGGTTGGATGCAACGAGCAGTTGACCGATCTTAGTCAGCAATTACATTAAGACGATTATGGAATGGATGGGTGTGTTAACTATAAATTGTCGATAATGATTGCATTCTCTAAGTAAAGTATACCTGGCTAGAAGGTTGTTCATCAGGCTTATTTCTGTCCATCATCGGTATCGGTTCCCTCCCTGCAGCTCTCTCCTTGTCTCCCTGATCGTAGAACTCCTCAAAAATCACCTTCACAGTCTTGATCTGAATGTCCCAAGGTTTTGCTGAAGCTGATAGGTCTGCCGCCGTCATTGATATCGCCATAGCTAATTCCCTATTCAAGAATGATTAAAATCTATAACTTATTTTAATTTATCACTTCAACAACTAAGCAATTTATAAAAAAATGCCCGTTGAATGAATGTATCTAAGTTTGCCTACTGGGCGTTTAAAAAGTAAGATGTTTCGGACAAAATCATTTCGTACAGAAAAAAACAAAAACGTAATAAAATTTAAAGTTAGTTTTTTTGACAGTCATTGGTTCCTCACCTATGACTGTGAAGATCCCAGTTGAACTGAGGAGTATCACCTTCGTGAAGCTGCTTGATCTTCGCCAGATTAGGGAAGAATGCTGCAAGATCTGTTGCTAAGATGCAATGTCTTATGTAACCTAGTACTTCTTTGTAGTCCTCGCTTGAGATGTGAGAGAATATGTTGTGACCATCCTGCAAGGAAACGGATTTTGACACATTTCTATTTTTTAGCTAGCTTCTAAGCAACCGGCCAGCCAACGCTATTCAGGGCCACCCGAAACATATGCACCGCTTGTAACTCAATTGTAACTTCACTTACATAGCAGAGCATGTATGTACATAAGTGCTTAAATATGAAAGTGCATGATAGAAACCAAAAACTTATGCTATGGAAAAGTAAAACTATTATATGCATTCTCATCTCTGACCTTTGTAGACTATTAGAATTATTTAGAATTGGATCATGGCTTTGAAAACACAATACGCTTAAAAGGAAAAAAAGAAAATAAGTTATTCCTTGCGGATTGTTTGTTTTGGAATAAAAAAAGTCATTTAATATCATTGTTAGTATCACATTTATGGACGAAATTACAGAATAAATATTTTGGAGATCTAAAAGATGGATAAACAATTTTGTCAACTCACTTACGTTTTAATCACGGGTTTTAATTTATAATTTTTCGCAGGTAGAATTTCTAGACATTCCATTTACAAATTCCTATTACCAAAAATTATTTACTTGGAAAAATATTTATCTTAAACAGGAATTTTATACAAAGTAAGCAAAAGTATTTTTTCAGTAGAAAAAAAATCCTGTTACCTACAATTACGAAATAAAACGTGTATGACAATAATTTAAAATACTCTTTCGCTAAACGTCTTCTGTTTAGTATAATGCTTTTGTCTGAACTTATAATACAGGTTTACTTTATCATAATATACATAATGTTTGTAGCCTGCTGCCTTTGTACACTGAATAATAATAGAGGATCACATATTACTTCTGGTTTCGTACTTCGGTATTACCTTTTCAAATATATTGTCATAATAAGGCCTTTCGTGTATGTAAAATATTTTATTACGAATTAACATTCATACCCAAAACCAGTAATATATATAAGGGTAAAGCAAATAGCGAATACAAAACTGACAAAATGGGCGACACATTTAATTTTGTTTTGTTTCAATGTAAGCAGCAATTCGCAAGGATTTCAAAAATAATTTCCATTGGTTCAACGCAAATTATTATTCAAAATGTTAAAATCAATATTTCGACCTTTGATCGTGTTTGAGCAATAATGAATTATGATATTACCTGCTGCAATATGGTGACAGTGATGTTAAAATGATGGTGTTCCAGTGTCGACGTGGTGTACATGGCCGCGAGAGGAGAAGCTATTTCACTCATATACTTATTGGTGTAGCCTCGATGGTCCAAATCGTGACACAGACAGGCCACAAAGAGAGCTAAACGCTAAAGAGAAAACACTACATCAGTTGCAGATGATCCAAAACTACAAAAACCTACATAGAAAAGTATACTTACCATTTTATAATCAAATCGCTTTCTAAAATCATTCTTCAGTATCACATACATGGAATGGGCAACAGTCCAACCGTGGTCAAAGTTATGGTACGGCACCGTTCTATAATTCTTCTTAACTGTCAACACAAATCTGGTTAACGTGCTAATATCAAAACTAGCCAGATCGAAAAGAACGCTAAACATCTTGATAACGCATTTGCATTTTTCAAACTCATTGAATCTGAAAGGGTCCAGATAAAAATCGTCCAAGTCTACTTTGATGGGCTCCTTGTCACTCAACATGGCAGTAACTTCATTCTCTTTACAAGTGTTATGGTAGCTTAGGACTTCAAGAGCTACCCGGTACTTCTGTTCTTTCCTCATGATTCTATCGTAAAGTCTGGCGTGGTGGAGTGCCAGTCCGAAAAACGTGGAGAATATTTCAAATGACACTTCGTCTTCATGACCGAAATTGTCATCGTTTCGCTTGTTCACCATCTGGACAACTCCTATGACTCTACCTTCGACTTTGATCGGCATACATAGGATGCTTATTGTCTTGTATCCAGTAGCTTCGTCGACCTCCCTGAAATTATGCTCATGATTATGAGTTCTTTAACTGTAAAAATGTATGTTACTCCTTTATTTTGAGTGCAATATCATCATCATCAGCCTGTAAGTGCCCACTGCTGAGCAAAGGCCTCTTCTCATACGGAGAAGGTTAGAACATTAATCACCACGCTTGCTCAATTTATAAATTATAAGTCCAGGTTTCCTCACGATGTTTACCTTCATCGTATGTCAGTAGTGTCTAAATAATCATAGAAAGTACATATTACTCGAAAAAGTCACATTGGTACTTGCCAGGTTTCGAACCAACACCCTCATGCATGAGAAGCGGGCTCCTTAACCTCCGGGCCACTACGACACATATCAATGTGCAATAACTTACCTGTTAAATCTATAGTCAGAATAGGCATCAGGTATATTCATGGTCTCCCCCGACAACGCTACATGACCAGCTATCCCTCTATTAATAGGCATTCTGATTTCTTTCTTTTCCATATCTCTGTCGTGTCCTGGCTCAAATTTTAGATCAAAAACCGTGGAAACCAGTTCGAAGTTCCTATAGTCAACGAGGAACAGAGATGCTCGATCAGCATTGACTAGACGTTGGGCAAATTCCAAGATTCTTTTAATCAGCTGGTCCAAAGAAACCATTTCTTCAAATATTGCTCTGAAAAACATTGTTTTTTACAGATAACTGAAATTAAATCTGTTTGTTTTTTTTAATTACTAAAATAAAATAAATGTTAGAAAATATTTCCAAAGAAAAAGAGATGTCTAAATAATTATGAAACAAAAATGGTTATAATGTTTATAATTACTATTTTGCGTTCCAATCCATGCTGAAACTATCACTTCGATTAAAATTAAACTGACTAAAATATTTATTCGTCTGTTCAACCTCTTTGATCGAGGGATTAAAAATAGATCTTCCCGCCAGCCATTTACTAATGAACTTGCAGATAACATGAAGCTTTTCAGGATGTCAATACCAATGATTGTATGCTATGATGTATAATATGTCTGACTTTTAATAAGCCTAGTGCCGTGATTCTTTGTACATATTTTATGAAATCCAAATCTTGATGTCGATTTTATAATCTAACATACCAATAACTTATGTGAGGCTATAACTAGATACATTATTTCGCTACAACTAACATACTTAACGACATCCAAAAGAAAGTCGGACATATTCCTCTCTCTCTTCTTGTCCAGGTAGAGGTTGCAGTAATGGAGCGCCAGACTGCCTAACACCAGAAAATTTGAGCTGATCTCCTCATCAACCTCCTTGAACCGGTCCTTGACCCTCCACATTTCTATCACATATGCTGTCTTTCCATTCTTCGTGAGGATTGGCTGGTACATCACGTGGTTGGCTTGTTTCTGTAATTAAAGTGTTAAAGATTTATTAGCCTTAGATGGTATTATGGTGCCTCATTTGGCTGGCATATGGTGGCTTAGTGTGTGACTCTGTGTGATAGTGATCGGGGAAGAATGGCCGTCTGTTAACCTCACTCACACTGCGAAATACAACGCTGTGGTTGTTTTACACTTACCACATTTTTTCCCATGGACTTAAACAAAGCGACAGGCGTCTCCGGGAATTTGGTAGCGTCATCAAGTCTGGATACTCGACGACACACTCCACTCTTTGCCACTTCGAGCACCAGATGTACTTGATCAGCGTATGCTCTGACTAAGCTCCTTATAACGTCTCTAGAAGGCTGAAATGAAAAGCAAATTACATGTACATTATCTTTTTTATGTCATAAGTCAGGAGCACGCAAATCACGTGATGGTAAGCAATCGGCGCCACCCACAGGCAGTCGCAACACCAAAGAAGTAACTACGAGTGCGTTGCCGGCCTCTCTTGTATTGTTAGGGATTAACGGATAGGGGATTTGAGGATAGAGGATTCGGGGCAAGATTGGGCCTCCGGCATACACTCACTTGGCAAAACACAACGTAAGTATTGCTTCACGCCGGTTTTGTATAAGGCCTGTCGAGCCAGCTAATTCCTGTCGAAGCTCGGCTCTCCCACACTCAAAGCCATACATTTATTTATTTATTTATTGAATATCTTTATGCACAAAAAAAATGTACAAAGGTGGGCTTAATGCCATGGGCATTCTTTAACAGCCAAATCTTTGGGTGATGCAGAGACAACTTTGAAGGTGCACAAAACAAGCATCATCACAGACGTGATACTTAGGCTAACATAAATATGTAATATATAACAATGGATTTGATTTTAGGGGTCTCCTGTCATTGATATACACAATACACCGTTGTTCTAATTAATACCGTTACACGACGGACGTATTATCGTAGCGTATCATTACGACACGGTCCAGGCATTGTTATGACAATAAACTTGTCATGCAATACGCTTTAGGTCTGAGCTTGTTTGAACGTCAACGTGCTCACATACTGCAACCGTATCAATTAACATGCGGTCAGAATACGCTACGTCTATCAAGGGACCAAATTCAGTTCATATTAGTATCTAAGACCAGTCACAATCACCTTAAGATCGACGACGAAGAATTGAACGAAACTTGGATGATCAGGGTACAGCTTGTACACTCGATGTGCGTCCACACCAACTGAGCTGGTGATGTAGTTGGCCAGCTCCCAGAGTACTGAGTGCTCGTTAGGGTCGTCTTTGAGAACTCTTAGAAGGTCCTAAACAAAAAAATAAATATTTTGACATTTACGTAAGTATGTACAACTGCAGCAATACAAGCATTGTTCTTCTCCAGTTAAATGTAACTAAAGATTTTACATTTGATTTCTCAAAAAAACATTTTTTCATAGTTCTTTAACTGCAAAGAGTAGAACTTCTTACCGAAAATATTTCCTTCTTATTAAACTCCTCTGTTTTCTTGAATGACATCATTTGTCTGTGACTGTATGTCGAAGGAGTAATCTGTAAATAAATTTATACTTAGCACAAATGTTATGAAATAAGAAACATAAGAAATAAGATATATCTATATTCCACAACAACAACAAATTTTATATGAGCAGGCATAATCGCTGAGCAGGTAGATTGGACATATTCGTAGTTCAGGTTTATCGGATAGCCCTACCAATCAAAAATGCTTTTACGCAGCTTTTGCGACATAGCTGCGTGAATAGTGGTGGTACTGACAAATAATTGTATTCTCGTATTCTTTGGTTACTGAAAGGCCAATTCTATGATAAAAAATCTAAATAATTCGAAGTGCTTACATAATTCCTTCTCGTCTTCTTCTGCAGCCATTTCTGAATGATATCAGCTGGAACTCGCTCCGTGACGTAAGCCTCAAGGAAATCTTTATTCTTGTTTAAGTAATCTGCCACATCCTGTTCTTCCGCATCTGTCAATCAATTTATGAAATTAAATTACCTTATGTTTTTCCAACCTCACCGTCATAAAATTATTTTAATCCAGGGTAAAAATTGACCTATATATGTATTATTTAAAAATATCTTTCTTTATGCAAACATTCCTTTTAGTAGTTTTTACGTGAAAAAGTAACAAGCTCCCTTTCATAATTAGAAACTATCGCGTTAGTAATAGAGAGACAACATCAAATGACTTCTCAATAAGGGAGTGTCACCAATACAATACCTCCCCTCCCTCCGTTTCATTTCTTGCTCTGGGCCGAGGCCGTGCCTCATTGCGCTTGCCCCGCAACCCCGGCTGGCATGGAGGCAAAAGGATTGCTCAGGTGACCTAACTCACATGACAAAACTCCTTGCAATTGTTTTTATTTAAGTTGGTATACGTCTACATTTAAATGTTTCGTGACCATTTTGTTTATACTAACCTTTAAAAGAAGTTACGGACCTCGCCTTGTTCCGCTTAGGCATACTCCCTGTACACCAAAACAGCAATCAATAAACTAAAAATTAACTAATTAAGTCTGGATACAGATATCCCACAATTACCTTTCGTAAAATGATGATTTGTAAACGTATAATTATTAATAAAAGATGCCTGGCAAATTCAATTCGGGTTCTGTAATGATCTAGTGCACAGGGATAGAGGGGGAATGTCACAACGGAACAACTAGTTCATTACACGGTTTACTCTGAACTGCGTACGCATACAAATTGTACCGCTATGACTTACTGTCTATGCAACAGTTTTGTTTAGGTATATACCTACACTACTGCAGGTTTGATAGCATTTATTTTATGAATACAGTGCACATCTACGTATTTGCAATACCAGCAAATGAACGCTATTGTAACTCATGTAGTAACAAACGCGTTCACTTTGAATATATGGAATGGAGGAGAGGAAGTTTTTAGCTTACTAATAAACATTAGTTGACTAAGTATTCGGTTAAGTATCGAAATTCAAAAGAATCCACTCGCGTAGTTTAATACTGTATAAAGCGTATATCGTTACGAATGGTACATAATATGCTTCTTAACTTGATACTCTCTGAAGACTAATAAAATTTGTAATCGTTCCTCTTTATAAGCAAGTAACACAAATACAAGCAAGAAAGGCAGATATCTCTTTAAAATAAAATTGCAGTTTCATAAAATTTCAAAGAGGCTTAACAATTTTATGTCCATCTATAATCAAATTAGTTCCAACCAATTGTGTGTGTACTGAAACATATTTTCATTGCATATTAGCTCTCAACTTTTTACAGCTGACTACATTTTACTAACTGAATAGTAAGGGAGCCCAGGACATTAAATTCCTTTCTATTTGTTCTCGTGGCTTTCTTCAAAGTGAGTCTTTGTAAAGTTAACGTTCTCTGTCTCTGTTCTGTTTTTCACATCTTACTCGCTCTTATTTTGACATAGTATAGTGCTTTAATACGTAAGTAATATTTTCTAAATGTTTTTTTTAATTACCCTTTTTAATTTTCTTGTGTAGATCCGTTAATACAGTTTTTGTAACTGTGTATACAACAGTGTACTAAGTAATCTCGTCAGTGTACTGAGTAACTGTCGATTTTCCTTCCTGAGCTCCTCTACTATTAGTAAAAACAACATTTTCATTGGAAAATACTTCAATTATCTTTCCATGAAATATTTGCAATAACTGAAAGATATTTGCACTAAATTGTTTCGCTCGCAGAGATTCTAAAAACGACAGAAGCGCCACGTTTGTAACGGAGGATTTTTGCAGCGTGAAAATATGACGCGTTGTGCCAGTAATTTTATGATAGCTTATGCACTTAACAATATACAATTTATATTAAGACTCATCAAAATTCTGTTTGAATTTTCTAGACCTGTTTTGTGACACCCGTTGTGTAAGTATCTACCTGTATATTTCTTCTCCGTCTTGACAGAACTCCAGTCTAAGTAGATGGAGTGTCTCTGCCTGCAGCCGCTGTGGAACCGCGACCAGCTCTGTTCCTCTTTTGGAGGTCGGTAAGTTGGTAAGGTGCGTCCTGAGTTGTTGAGAAACGACGAATTAATTACATTTGTCTTGTTGCGAATTAATGTACCTCTCTATCTCGTCGTTATTAAATTCTGATACTGAGAATTAAAGTACAATAATTACGACACTGGCTCACGATCGATTGGCGATTTCAAACATGTAGGTAGTTAGAAATTGTAAATCTACGTGTCTATGCGTATATTTGAAATGGTATGAGAGTTTGTTACCAGAAGAACTAGCAGCATCTCCATAGATGGGAGGTAGCAGTCGTGGCGACCGCGGTTCGGGTGTCCTCGCCTTAACCGTGGAATTTCTTGAAGTAAGTACCTGGAATATAAAAATATTTAAGTTAAACATTGTATGTAGAAATGTAACACATCGCAAGCAGTTTCATGAGCATTAAATTAATCACCACGCTTACTCAATTCAGAATTAAGATTTCAAACTTCTAATTAGAAATAAAATTATAAGTGTAGTTCTCCTCATAAAATTTCTAAAAACCATGGTACTAGCCAGGTTTCAAATCCGCCATCTCGTGTCACTGCCATATATACCTACCATTACATGGGAATAAACATGACTTTACTGAAGAAAAGTAAGTAAATAGATTCAATTCTTCAAATACTCTTCGAAGAATGAAGACATTATGACAACCTTTTTTTGTTTACGAGGCGTAACGTCCAAAATGCGCCTAGGGGAAAAAGACAAGAGAAGGTGGGATTTTTACCTTACTAAACTTTAACCTCCCCCGTGACCACCATCTCACCTGTAAGCGACACGGGGCCTCTTAGTAGACCAAATCGGAACAATACATGACAACCTGTTAGTCAAATCTCAAAATCAGAAATCTCATAACCAGAGTATTGCTCTTCCTATTTTTATAGGCGTTTAACATTGAGTGAAGCGGTTTATGTGATATATCCATACTGTTCATCGGTGGCGCCAGTACCTACCATTAGGTGATAGTATCTGTTGATTTTCTACACAACTTCATAAAACATACAATAAAGTATAGGTAAAAATGTAGTATGGTTCTTACAACCATTACTTTGTTTTATTACTTAAAATGAAATGTCTTATTTTTTTGTTATAAACATAACGTATACTATAATTGTTGCCAAAAACTAATCAAGAGTCCCTGACAACCCACTACTAAAGCATGAGCCCGTAAACTTTAAGCAGTTTACCAAGATCCCTACACCTTGCAGGCGGCTTGAAGATCATCAACACGTAAAAAAGACTCCTACTACCATAAATATTAATCAACTTTAAACCCTTACCAAAAGCGTATGCCATAATTACAAGTAAACCCATTGTGCTGATCCTTCCTTGTGCTAGTTCGACTGGACAATACAAATAGCTATCAGTGGCCATAACTCGTTTGTTCGACACGCCATTATGGCTCAACAAAAATGGCGGATCAATTTTTGGCGGCATTTTTGGTTACGGAGTACCAAACGGTCTCCACAGTTAGCGACATGTTTTGGAAGGATTTTGTTGATGCTAAAAATAATTTTATGACATCCTTTTGAGTGAACTCAAGGAGGTAGTGGGTACAAATCGTAGAATTTTATCAGTTATATTAAATACTTTGTTTGGCTGACAAATCATCAAACGACAACGGCATGGCAGGAGGAGTTTAATTTCGGAAGTCAGTTTATGAGTTAAATCGTTGTACCAGACTCTTACAGACTAAAAATCATAACCTGGTCCAGGCCGCTTGTCATTACTTAAATCGAAGCCCATCAATAGTAGGTTGTATATAATAGCAACTTGAGTCCTTTTAGCAGATTAAGTTTTCCTGCTAATGTTGATAGTGTAAATGTATCTAAATAAGCATATCAATCTTCTGAATCACAACACTACATAAAAATCATACAATAGTTAATTCGGAGATGGTAATCGTAATAGAGAATCAATATACCTATATATTTGCAAAAAGTTGTGCAGAGCCAGCCAGTGAGATGGCCCTTTTTTGCATATACGTAGGCACAATGTTCAAGGTCGTTTGTCGTGTCTGCAAAAATTCATAATCTTTGCCCTTGTTTGTAGTTTAACTATTAATATTGCGATATTGAGAATTTTCATTATATTTTTGCATACTTTATCTTTTGAGTACCTACACGAGATTACATGCATTATTTTCGAATTTAGTGTTCAGTAAAATGTAGTCATGCATACCTTTGTAGTTAGAGTACATTGTTGAAGCAAGGAATTGTAGAAAAATTTGAAATGCAATCCATCAGATTGTTGTTAAAATTTTACGTTTAAAGGCCTTGTTCAAAGGCCTAAGTAAAAAGTTTACGTTATGCCATCATCTTCTGTCAGTACTTAAATGATGCTATGGCACTTGCTTCGCACAGGTGTACCCATTATCAATTATTGGTTTTGCGAATCGCCATGGCAATTAATTTTCATCTGTAGAGTTTTAAAATCCTTCCATAAAATCCTTCACCTAATAACACGACAAAAAGATTTGTCGAAATTGATTTAGCTATTCTAGAGATTTGCGCTTAGCACATAAAAAGATTAATTTGTATGATATAGGTTTTTATTATTGGTAGTCGATGGTCATAATCTTAATCTTTGGCGGGTTAGAGAACACAATTTAAAACTTGACCATGGATACCCATTTACAAATACGTGATGGGTATTATATTCGGTAGTTCAAGGAAGCCAAGGTGACTTTCCCATATAGGACTATCAATCAAGCTAATGGATTAATAGTTTGGCCGCAATTAGGCTAAGTCCTTATAGCAATATAATTACTAAATTACACTCAATATCGTTTGCCGAAACAATAGCTGAAGGGATTATGTACTTTGTTTATTAAATAATATTTACTAGCAAGACTTTATTGTTAGTGGCCTACTCTTTACACTGGATACGTCGATGCGGCTTATGTTCAACAAAGACCTTTTTGCAGCTATGCTGATGACAATTTTATAGCCGTATTCCAGTCTCATTTTTACAATATGAAATTCATTGGTAGAAAGAAGGTGACATTCAAAGTCAAAGTCAAAATCATTTATTCCTACTAAACCATAAATAGGTACTTTTGAAACGTCAAAATAGAAAAGTAGTAGTCTGTCAGTGTGTTCGTCAGTGAAGCTAGGTGTAATTCAACACTTTTGTGGATATAAATGGTATTTCTATGATATCCAGAAAGAACATATAAATGTAGTTTTGGTCTTGTAAGAGGCGAAAATGCTGACTAAGATAAAAAAATATAAATAACAAATAATGACAAAAGTATTTCAACAAGTAACACACATATGCGACTAGTCCTTTAAAAGAGATCAGGCAGCAGCATTCTTTGATAAAGCTGACCATGTTAAACTAGGATTTCTAGACCATTTGTCAGACAGAGAGATTAGGGCAATCACCATCTTTAGCAGACAAACCCAATAAGTTGTGGACACTAACAGGTTATGGTTATGATATCAGACGCAGAGCAGTACACGTAATGGATTTAGACTTTATGGAACAAATAACAATACAAGCAATGCAAAAGGAGAAATCCTAATAATTTCTCAGTTATTCAATACATCAGTTATTCATTTCGGCCACTGCCCTGCCAAAAAACTCATCAGCATTAAGCCTAGTAGCAGTTTAAATAGCCCAAGGTCACTTTACCTTTCCTGGGTCGGAACTAATTATGGTGCACACGATATTGGTCCTTATGTACGTGCGATGCGTTCGTAATTGACTATCAGGGAAGTGCGTTGATTCCCCTTCGATTTAAGTGCACGTGCACCAAAGATATTAACTTATTTTAAGCTCTTAACTAGACTGAACACAAATTGTTATTGGCTTTTAGTCGCAGAGTACATATAGTAATGAAGTTACTAAATGCGTTTTTCAAATACTGGCAAAAGTGTAGGACTATTATTTACTAAATAAATTTTGTGTCAATGGTCTGTTGCCACTTCATGTAAAAACAAATAAATTTACCAGATAAAAGACATTTCTATGTAGGTATTTAAGCCTTGTAAATCAGTGTCGTGTACATTATATATAACGTAATTTGTATAGAATACATATATGTTACATAACTCTATCGATTACTTTATAGGAAAGTGAAGAAGCAGGCTAACGCGAAAATCATGACAAAAGCATTTTTGTTTAGGAAAATAATTATCATCAATAATGACATCATTGGCACAGCAGTAAGCATCTACATAAAAATAGAAAATCAGTCGCTTTAGCAGATTATATTTATCAATTAAGCATTAGTGCATTGATTAACGTCATCAGAACAGCAATGTCTGATTCGTTAGATCTCAACTTCCATCAAACGCCTTCTATCGGTCAAGGTGAAGCGAGAGGTAGTGTCAAACTCTTGCTGACCAAAAACCTCCCGTTCCTTCTCCTGCCTGCTCCAGGACTTGATAAGGGAATTGTAGAGAGAAATGATGCTCTTCTGGTAAGATACATTACAAATGAATGTTAAGAGTGCCCTCTTAGCAGCGGGAAATACATTATCTGCGATATAAACCAGGACTGCTAACATAAACTCGACTGCACTGTTGGCGCGGTGGCTGGGCAACAGTCTACCGTGCAACGTGTCGCGATTCCTGCACGGAACAATTCTTTGAGTTATACACAAATTGTTGTTCCGGGTCTAGGTGTGTTTAATGTGAAATTGTATTGTTTGTAAAACGCACCCACGACACAGCAGAAAATCGTAGTGTTATGTAAAGGTAAAAAAAAGATAATAAAATTTCAAGTAAAAAGGAATTGGCCTAAAATCTGAGGCATCACTACCTAGTTCCAGTGTTCCTCTCCGGTCGTGCCCATCTGTCATGTAATTACATTACGGCAGCGAGGGTGCAGAAAGTGCACTTGCATGTTATCGTGTTATACACAAGTCACACATCATCAGCCTATAAGTGTCCATTGCTGAGCAAAAGCCTCTTCTCACGCAGAGAAGGTTTTTAGCATTAATCACCACGTTTTCTCAAGGAAGTTTGGAGATTTCAAATTTAAAATTATGAACCTAGAGTTCCTTAAGATGTTTTTGTTCAGCTTATGTTAGTGGTGGCTAAATAAACTAAGAAAGTACATGTAAATTGCAAGTTATATTGGTACCTGTCAGGTCGATCTCCCATGAAAAGAGGGTACAAAAACTTTCGGGTTACCAAAACAACATAAGTGCGTAAAAAACAAGTCATGTAGGAAATATATTTCAACTTCTACAGGGAAAACAAGATGCGGTCAAAAAAAAATGTTGTCTTTGGCAACAGTAGCTTCTTTAGGGTCAACTGCAAAATACGTGTCAAATAAAAAGTATTTTATAATATTTATATCATTACAATAAATCTAAAACAGGCAGATAATGGTGTTGCTTTTTTCAATACATCAATTGCTTTCCTTGAAGATTATTTCTAAACAACTACACAACACACTATTTTGATTTAGAAATCAACCTTATTCGACCGAATTAAGCATTTTAACTTAAAACTGTATAGGTATTACTAGTAAAACTTAAAGTATAGTTAGGGGGAAAGTTTTGAGAGATCAAAGCCAAGCATGATAATAATTCAACCATATAGGTCTAGTCTAGTCATAAAACCACCTTGGTCAGTAACCAAATAAAAATATGTCCGCCTTGCAAAATTTTTAATTGATTTATTTAAAAATAATGAAAAATCTTACCTTGTTCGACTCCTTAGGGCCATTGACAACAGGAGGCTCGTTCATAATAAAACTTATATTAAAGCGACAGGCGTGCGGTATGGGGCAGTAGTTCACAATGGTGAACTCGCCGAAACGATAGCGATGTCACTCCACGATGAGGCGGCCATACGATCGAAACTAGACCTTGTCTTATCTAACTAAATTGTATTTTCGATTGTGTGACGGTTAATTAAAATGATGACGTATCAATGGCTGCGTTTAGTTTTCTAATGATTGCAAAACAATGAACGTTGTTCTGTTATTGGTTTTTCCATATTAACTTACCAAAAGTTGTTCTTTGAGTTGGGAAAAGTTCTCGTGATAGTTATAATAGTAACCGTGTAACAAGAATCAATAATAATAATATTATAAGACATGAAAAACTATGCTAAAATGACTATAAACCTAACGTTGTCCCCTATAGGTACCTAAGGATATTCCACTATATCGCGGGTTCCAATTTAAACTTACTATTTCACATACACATGACACCCAGACTCGGAACTTCAATTTGTAATTTACACAAAGAATAGTTCCGTAAGGAACCGATCCGGCGACATTGCACGGCAGCTGGTTGCCCAGCCACCGCGTCAATGTTTCCCTGTTCAGGACCTGAAACAGGAACCTACCAGCGTTGCCGTGCCCGGTAAGCACCTGCATCAGGCAGAAGGTGAGGACGCCGTGGCGTGTCTCAAGCTACTCCTCAAAGGGGGGTCTTACCGCTGCTTTAACAGCGTGCCTGAACAGCGTCTGCGTTGTAATTTCTCAGTATGGTTTATTCTTTATTAGGAGTCTGCTTTTTTTTTCTTAGAAGCTTTTATAAAGTCGTCCCCATTTTCTCTGTGTTCTACAACCTGTAACATTTTTAAATTCATAATATCAAAATACTCATAAACTCCTTTCCTGTCTGAGTGTATATATTGTCAAATAATTTTCACACCTTTTCCGTGATCGTGTCCATTCAACCCACATTACGTTATTCACTTGCTTTGTCACATGATTTTCGACCCTTCTTATAACATTTATATACCAAAATATACTATTTTCTTGTTCACAATTTGCTTTGCTATCTTTGGCAGGAATAATAGGCCGGTTCGAATATTTTGTTTTGTTAATTATTTTAAACAAATAATGGAATGTGGGGAGCCAAGCGGAAGGGTCGCCATAGCGTGGCCGTAAGCGTCTTAATGCCAAAAATTTTGAAACATATTTCTAGCGTGAATTTTTCAATTTTGTGAGTGTGGGGTGAGCCTGGTTGGCAAATGCTATTATCTGATGCAATAGCCTCTGAGCCAAATACGTTCAGTTTTGCCTTTTTAATACGTTTTGACAGAAATCAAATTACTGCCTCGGGCCAAACAGTTTTTACCCTTGTTGCCTACCTGAGTATATACATGTAAGGGCATATTCCATTCACTACGTAGTTAAAATAATAAATTAGGGAAGCGTTTACTTTATGAAAAATGCACATTTTCCACAACTAACCATTTTAAATTGAATTTAATTAAAAACTCTTAATAAACTCTCCAAAGAGAAAAGAACATCTTTAGAAAAAATGCCCAGCATACATAAAACTCTTTACGATACTTAAAATTCGCTTTTATACAAAATTAAAACTTTAGTTTACAAAATTTAATTTAAAAATATGTTTTACCTAGACATAAAGTAGAAGCTCCGCTTTGTAAGGCTGTGTAGATAATAATGTAATTTTAATTTAGTTTATAACTTCCCTCTGGACTTTCAATTTACCATTTCACTGAAACAAGGGACAAGAAAAATGTCTACTAACAAAAAAATTTAATAAACAAAATTAAAAACAAATTATGCCTAAGATGCAATTAGGCATCGCGGTCTTGGCCTGGAAGGAGGGACGGGGGGTTTTTTAGTCAGTAATAATCTGGTTAGAAGTCATCGGACAATTTTCTTCCACAAACAAGGTATGGCATGACGAAGCTTATGAGACATGCAGCGAAATAGAATTTTAAAAATGAGCAAATGCATTTTATTTGGCAGTTATTACCAGTTTTAACGTTATTTGTGTCTATAACCTCTGTTGTATAGGGCTTGTATCTTTATACTAAACAATTAAGTACAGCGCAAATTTCCTCTCATACATTTCCGAATCGACATTGTCCTTGCAATCGCGACCTACTAACAATAATTTTGTTATTTATCGTCAGTTCTAAATATTGTTAGTTCTGAGTATGCTTGCGACCACGACCTATGCAACCAGGTCGAAACGTCAAGCCTTCCAAGATATTTATAAATTAACTTTACACGTTAATACCCGTTAGCACTTCTAGTTCTTTTTTTTTATGTGATAGGTCGGCAAACGAGCAGACGGATTACCTGATGGTAAGTAATCAGCGCCGCCCATGGACACTCCCAAAGGAGGAGTGGGTGGGGATTTGGAGATTTAGGGATTGAGGAGGGATTGGGGGTGGGGAAGGATTGGGCCTCCGGTAACCTCACTCACACGGCGAAACACAACGCTGTGGTTGTTTCACGCCGGTTTTCTGTGAGGCCGTGGTATCACTCCGGTCGAGCCGACCCATTCGTGCCGAAGCATGGCTGTCCCACACTTTAAGTAGTTCTAAGTAATTTCACTCGTCCTGTAATATTTGTTATGGGCCACTGTTTTTATTGTCCTTTGATAATGTTATCACAAACACGAACTCCATTGATTGATTGATTATCACTTCTTATCGAGGTGGTTCTATTGAAAGCAAATAAATATAGTGAATTAAAATTCATTTTAATGTTTTCATTGTTAAGCTTTTTTGTTCAAGTTTTTTGTTTCAATGTACGATCATTGTAATGTTTTGGCAACATTTTGCTAGGAAGTTCCATATTAATACCTCAGATTAATACCTAAATATCTTACTTACAAAAAAACTTGACAAACAAATGGGCAGATTACCTGATAATAAGTGATCGGCGCAATCCTTGGACACCCACAACACCAAAGAATTTACGAGTTAGAATTTAGGATTTGGAGATTTTGGGATGTGAAGAGGGGAAGGATTTGACATTAGGTAACCTCAATCACACAGTGATCTACAGTGCTGTGGTTGTTTCTTATTTTCTACTAGCTAATCTCAAGCGGTTTCAACCGCTGTTCGGCTCCATTTGATCGTAGCATGATGTTTTATAGCCTATAGCATTCAGGAACATTGTAGCTATCTATCGGTGAAATAATTTTGGCAATCCGACCAGCGGTTCCAAAGATTACCCCCTACTATACTATTAAAATATTAGTATAGATGAGGCTGTGGTATCTCTCCGATCAAGCCGAGCCATGTTTCGGCACAAATGTGCCAAAACGTGGCTCTCCACTTAAAGATCTGTGAGCTCATAAACTCAGGTGTATCTGGGATTTAAATATTAAGGGTTCAGCTTTTTAATACTTAACTGCTTTTGCATAGTGTCTGTCAAATATGAACTCTATTAGCCAGAAGTTACGATACAAGTGAGAACAGTATAAAGGCCAATATATTTTATTATCTATTCTGTTTTACTCATATAAAAAATACATATAAACTAATCGTGCCCAATCAATCCTAAAACACTTAAACCTAGGTAAACTGAAATAATAATCAGAACCTATTAATTCATTAGATTATAGTTCATAATAACTACTATCGAGTTATTTGTGACACCATTTATCATTTGTATTGATTTTATGATTATCATTGAAACGGTGGCGATGTGTTTGGGAACTGTTGTTCCTGTATTCATAAGCACAAAGGTTCAATTTAAAATATAAATTTTATACTTAGCTGGTAAGAATTTTCTTACTTTTTTTTTCTGTAAAGTTTGTTGCAAGAGTAAAAATTTTTCTAATTAATAATATTGTCTGTTTACTGTTCTTGCCTATTAAACTCAGACCCGCGCTTACAGTGGCCGGAGATGGTCGCGCGATAAGATAAAAGGCATGTCTCCTGCGGAGGCTGGAAAGTAAGCGAATAACTATGAGGAGCTCTTTAATGAACTTGCCCATTGTAAACATCTTTCTTTGACATGCAAGAACTTCCCGAGATATCACTGATTAAGCTGATGTCGCCGAATATTAATATACAAGATACTCTTATTAGGACCCAAACAAACCGGTAGAAATCACAGTCCATAAGACCTGAAAACAAAATAGATTTAAAAAAAATCTAAAGTGGCCTGGTAAACGACTTTTAACAAAGCTTCTTATGTGCAGAAGACACTAAAAATAGTCCAGTTTAAAATCGTCCTGAGTAAAATATAGGTACAACTTCACATATAAATAACACCCAGACCCATAACAACAATTTATGGATCACACAAGGCAATCAAACCTGTGATAGTTTGCACGCCAGCCGTTTGCTGAGCCACCGCGCCAACCGTGCATTCAGAGTCAGTATATTTATTGTTATTATCAGCTAATAATTTCGAAATCGTCATTTATAGCAACTTACATCATTTTTACCAAGTCCCATTAATATTTAAATAATTAATTCCAAGAAAAACCATAGTACAATCTACTTCGTTGAGACAGACTACGGACCTCGATACCAAAACGGTATGAATACAAACATACAAATGTCTATGTCATGACATTTATTACTGTCAAATGTAAACTGTAATTTGCATGTATACAATGTGTCAGTGACATGATGAACACTATAATCAGAAAACCCTGGACCCGGTCATCATGTTACACGTAATATGGTTGGGTATGACAAAAATGATTCCATGACGTCTCAAGAAAAATTGTTAGCTGGATGCCTTTCAGGAGTGATGACAAAATGTATAACTCAGCCAATGGACGTGATCAAACTACGGTCACAACTGCTCAGGAAACCAAAACAGAGGCACGTGGTGTACCGAGTAGCGAGGAGGATTTTCTGGGAAGAGGGTATCAGAGCCTTTTGGCACGGTCACGTATTGGGGCAGGTAATGTAAAGCCCAACATTTCCAAACATTATATATGTTATACTTTATTTTGTAACAATTACATTCTCAAGAACTATGTATTAAACAAAATATTTGATGTGTATTATAAGTATCTAGCCGTGTCTTGACGGCTTGTAGTCTATTAGAAGCTTATGAATACCTATAAAGGAACAGTACAGCAACTTGTTAGTAGTGATTTAGTGTGATAGACATAAGTGGTAATCATCGATTTAAACAGCAAAATGTTGCATGTCAAATGGTCCGCTAATTACATATTCTTTTTTAAATTTTAGAGTTTCCTTAGATTATTTATTATATCATTTTCACGTACATATTATGTTCACATTTAAGGTACATTCGGTGCTTGCAGTAAGCAGCCAGTTCTTTATGTATGAGCTAGCTACAAAGTGGACTTCATCGTTACCTATAGCACAAAAAACTAAGTAAGTTCTGAGCATTCTTTAGAAAATTTTGCTATTAATAATAAATGACACTGCCAAAAGCTATTGATGACAGAAACCTATCGAAATATAAGTTATTCTGCCTGTAACAACAGAAATGCAATTACGTCAGTAAGTTACATGTTGCCATTAAAATAATAAAAGGGGTCTTTGAAAAAGTTACCTTCATATTCTTAATTAGATTTAAGACATTACCAGGATAGACAAAAAAAATATAGCTTACTTAATAAGCTGATCCTATTGCCATTAAGATAATCAAACAAAGGTGTATTAATAAAAATAGTTGTACATATAAATTCACTAATTCGTATAAATACTAATAACTCACGCCACTGTATTTGGGAACAGCACAAGCTACATTGCAGCTCATTACTTACTGTTTCACTTCTGTTATAGGCCCATCGAACATTTTCTTTGCGGCACCCTTGCTGGTTGTTTTTCTACTTGCCTGGTGATACCTCTGGAAGTGATCCGGGTTCGTCAGATGGTGGTGAAAGATCAGTACAGTAGTGTATTTAAGGGAGCACAAGCAGTGTATAGGTATGGGGGAATAACAGCTTTCTATGAAGGCTTAAGTGCTTCGTTACTACAGGTGAGATAAGGTTGACTTACACCCGGTTTCCGAAAGGCCAATCAATATTAAAATCAATTTAATCACTTGTCAAGTCATCTGATAGGTTGACTGAATTATCAACAACCAATCAGATGACTTGACAAGAGATTTAACTGGAGATTTGTTAATTTTAGCGTTGACAAGCCTTTCAGAAACCGGGCGTTAGTACTTCACGTTCTTTTAACATTGCCATGAGAATCGGGACCACTAGTATAAAAAATCTTTGGATTTAAATTTGTCTTTTGCAGATGGGACCACAAGCGGGGATTTCATTTGCAGTATTTAATTTCGTGCAACCTTTAATCCTTAGTTTTTTTACTGTATGCCCTCCCAACGAGTGCAGTAAGGGCAACAAGTATAAACCCCAGAACATTGTACTGGCTAGTAGTGTGGCTGGGTCCACCGCTGGATTCATCGCGAAGTCAGTCACATATCCATTGGATTTAGCAAAACGAAGATTGCAATTTTCTGTAAGTTTTGTGTACAGCTTCATTCAGCATTATTGTTATAATCCCCATATTTTCTTCTGAATACAGTTTATCATGAGTTTCTTTTACATCATCAATTATTATCATGAGAATTTGACATCATCTCCGCTGAATCTGGATCGTCGATCAAAAAATTTAAGGATGACCGGCTATCTTCGTAATGCAATTTCGTAACCAATGATAAGTTGATGTATGTTACGATGATTATGATAAATAGTGTATCATCGTTATTTTTTATTTTAAACAAAGTCAAGTATTAGCCAGTATCACATCAAAGACCTAAACCAAAGCGTCAGCGATAATACAATATCAAACTTCGTAAGGTAATAATATTTTTACACTCAAGGAATATACATTTGTGTGACCCGGGCAGCAGAACTGGCCATAGCTCTCGCATTCACGGGAACGACTACTTTTCAAACGGTGCTAACTCTAACCAGTATTTTAGCCAGTTAACTGTAGTAAAGATGTAATAACTGTCATTCAACAGCTAACAATTGCCACGCTGAGGAAGTCCGGATGTCCGTCAGTTTCGCTAACTAAATATAATGTTTGTGTGACTGTCGGTGTATCGTTACATCTAAGTATAGGAGTTATATCATTGGTTCCTGGTCGAGTAAAAAATATCTAATAGTTTCTAGTAATGCAAGAAAATAGCTGTTTGTCGGTAGAAAACTTGATTATGATGTATGATTCACTGGCCGAGCGTATTCGCCCAGTTCATTTCCCCTGTCTAGTAATGTATTGGGCTTTTATTCTGTTGTCAATTTATCACAATTGTACGAAAGAATCCATAATTTAATTAAATTGGCCTTCTTCGTATATATATAATACGAAGGTGTCTTCCAACTGGCCAATTAAGAGTCATTAGAGTTTCTATAAGCATGGTAAAAAGAGGCCTGTTACTAAATGATATAAATAAACTTTATCATCATCAGCCTTAAGTGCCCACTGCTGAGCAAAACCCTCTTCTCCCACGGGGAAGATTTGAGCATTAATCACCATGCTTGCTCAAGGCGGATTGGAAACTTAGAAACTATAGTCAATTTTCCTCACGATGTTTTCCTTCACTTTACTATGTATGTCAGTGGAGTCTTAATAATCATATAATGTATATATAACTCGGAAAAAGTCACACACAAGGTTTTGAACATTCATGCATGAGAATCTGGAACCTAAACCTCCGTGAATTAACTTATTAATTGTTTCAGACTCACAGGCCAAGCCAAAAATACAAAACACCGACTCAAGCTCAGGAAATGATCAGATGCAATAAATTATTGGAATGTCTGGTATATGCTTATAAAACAGAAGGGTTTAAAGGACTCTACAGGGGGTGGACAGTAACTGTCTACAAAGCCCAGATGACCAGTGTATTTGCTTTCACCTCGTACGAAATAATTTGTTATACGTTCAGAGAATTGCACATTTATTATAAATAAATATTTGGGTGTTGTAATGTTGACGCGTCTTAGTGTTTTGTCAGTAACGGGAGAGTCATGTAGCGTTTTTATAAATATTGTATGTCCGATTGTAAGTATAATGCATTATACTATTCTGAAGTTAGTCTTAGTTTGAATTGTAAAATACTTTGTTTACTTTAAATAAATATTAATAGTTTTGTCCGGGTGAAATGTTTGTGTCTTCAATTGATTTCATAATATGTCTCATTTTGCTTCAGCTTGGACTTTTTTTGGTAAATTTACATATGTCGCACAAATTAGCTACCATCTCTCTCCATGGACACAGACTTTGTATTTTACCAGGGGGCCTGATGTCAGGGACCACGCCTTAGTACTGCTGGTCATCACTGCCAATACACACTGATCCACATCTTGATCTTTAGGCAATGTGGAATATTTTGTCACTTTGCCATTGTTAATTTAGATTCTTTGGACGACCGCTTCATCAACATTGTCCTTACAGCAAAAACCTACCTCGCTGGATTATTTGTTATAGATAAGTGTAATAGTTTACAACATCGAGGTAATCGTGTCGTAAAATAATGAGTAAAGTCTCGGCATGGGAATTTGGACATGATTTTCGTCTTGTCAATGTTTGTAAGCTAAGTAAGACCGTCCATCTTGTTAGGAAACTGTATTAAGGTAGTGAAGTGTTTTCTGGCTTCAGTATTTTTGACATTTATAACAAAACACTGAATGCTCTGGCATTTTAATGTAACTGAAGAAGAATAATTTGTACAGTCTCTCCCCATCCCTTTCCAATTCTTAAATAAAACCCGGCAACGCACTCGACAACAACTTTTTCGATGTTGCAAGTGTGTTGTGTGTAGTCTATACGAGTATATAACATAAAAAAATCTTTTTATGTTACATAGTCCATCCATCAAGGAAGACCATAAAAAACCGACTATCATTCAAAAAATCGAGAGAAACTATGCGCAACCATGACATTGTAATTAATACTCAGGGTGTTCAATAAAAAACATATTTTCGGTAAAAAAAAACTAAAACACATCATTTTTATTCTCTTTGGTTCTTACATAATAGAATGGTTAACATCTATGGTAACTTTATGGAACACAGGCTCTGTTTGTTTATCTGACACAATTTTGTTTGAGATTATCTTAATAATATTGTTACAACTATGTACAAGTTTTAATTGTTAATGAAGTTACAAGAAAATGAGGGATGGCAAACATTTTAAACAGTTTACAATCGGTTATAGTCATCAATGAGAGAAAATATATTTAGCATACGCACTCAGTTACGTTATAGACGCCTTGTGACTTAGATCTGAGTTGTTTGTGACAAATTTAACCGTTATAAATTTTAATGATTTTCCGTCATAGATCACAAGCTTAGGTATAATAATGATGATAAAATTTCTCGAATTGTTGTCAAGTCAAATATTACTTGGATTTTGTAACATTTATTTCTTACTTGGCCCTGTAATATAAAGTGACGTCACATATTGTATTGTATGCCTAATATAAATTCCTTTTTCTCTCAATTGGATTCGGTAAACTTCGGGAAAGATCGGAATGACTTCGTGTGACTTCGTAATCTTGGCGGCAACTCCTGTTTATTACGATGTGTGGTTTCTTATCCTAAGAATCCTGGAGACAAAAGGATTGGATTAATTAGTATGTTTCCAAACGATTATACACCTTAATTACACTAGTATAGATCTTTGATTTTTAACAACTCGAGTGTGATAAGCCATTTTAAACACTATGGTATGATTATTAAAGTAATTTTAGACTCTATCTTCAGTGTTTAAGTCTTTGGAATTTCTTATCTATTAATAGTCGAGCATAGAATTGAAGAACATGCAATAAGTATGGGAGAGTCATGCTTTGGCAAGAATGGGTCTGCTCGACCGGAGTGATACCACGGCCTCACAGAAAACCGGCGTGAAATAGCCACAGTGTTGTGTTTCGCCTTGTGAGGGTATTGGAGGCCCAATCCTTCCCCTCAACCTATCAACGCACTCGTAACTGCTCTGTTGCGGGTGTCCATGGGCGGCGCTGATTGCTTACCATCAGGTAATCTCTTTGACCGTTTGCTGACCTATTACAAAAAAAAAAAGATCACATCACAAACCTTAAACTAAAACAAGTGAAGTCCATCAGTTCCAGCCGTGCGACAACGACTCGCTCTCCCACCCATGATGTTCCTCATGCACTGGCAGGTACACCTTCTTCTCAACCTCGACGTGCTTCACCACGGGGACCGGCACGTGTTTGTACACTGGGACAGGGACGTGCTGGATGACAGGCACCTCCTTGATCACCGGGACTTCTTTCACGACCGGCACGTGTACTGGCACATGGACTTTGGAGACGTGGTGGTGGTGGATGGTGTGCACCTTGTATGGCACGTGGATGGTGACGTGCTTGTGGCTGTAATTGGAAATTGTTGGGTTAGAATCGTGGTAGAAGAAAGAACAGGTTTGAATTAAGTGGAGGCAGGACTTTAGTTCGTATAAAAGAGTGGTTGAGTGATACACATATAGCACATTTAATGATTTAATGGCATACATGGCTTATGAAATTAATGCGATACCCTTTCTCTAACGTATTTAGATGCAAGTCAATTATAGACGGCAGACAAAAATTCTTTTAAAGTCGCTCTCCTCTTAGATAGTACTAGCGGAAGTGTCAGACTCTTACTGGCTAAAAACCCACCCCGTTCCTTTTCCTGTTCCCAGCTGGGACCGCGATGTTTATAATTGCGCTTGCATTTTAGCCCCGGCTGATTAATGTGCTTTTAAAATTGCAATTGGCTTAACAAATATGATAGCTATGAACTGGAACTAGATATAACACCCGCATTACAACAGCCCTTTGTTAATAATTAGAAATCGGATTACCATATTTAATTATCTTTCGTCCGATACCCTAATAAGTACCGTGTAATTAAAATTCAATTATGAACTATCTGATTAATTGAGGTCTGATGTAACTAAAATTTTAAGCCCTAGTATAGGCTAATATGGCCACCACTTTAGGGTGCATTGAACATATTTGTAGATGATAAGTTTTAAAATGGATAAAGTTCCATTATATGTCACCCAAGCAATCCTTAGCCAGTTGAAAAACAGCAATGTACGGTACAAATATTCTGCCCAAGTAACAAAAGAACGTGCCGTACTAAATCCATAAAATACCTTGTCAAAACACAAAATAAACACTGAAATCTAATTCCGAACAAGTAAAGTCCACGACACACGAGCGGCATAAAATTCACACGAAAAAAGTCGTTGCGACATCAAAATTAATTCACGATGCGACAGATTAACAAATCGCACGCGCGATGTCTTTGGTGCTTACAAATCGCTCACTTTCCCTATACTTGTAGTAAGTGGATGATGCGAGAGAAACGCACAATTTATTATGCAACCCGTAATTGGGGTGCGACGACTTTGCCCGTACCTATGACGTAAATGTGCATCTGGGTTTATTACGACTTTATTGCAAATCGCTAGGGGACTTGAGTAAGTGATCTCTTGGCTTTAAAGCAGGTTATTATAAAATTTTATGTGCTGTTTTGTAATTTCACTATTAATAAAACATTGCAACATTCCACTGCCTAAGTAATCTACGGTTTTTATTCCTTAGAATTTTCCACGTATTATATAAGCTCAAGCTACAACTTTTTGCTGTGTGTTAGGAACTAGCCCTTTGAAGTAAAATACTATCCAACACTGGTTATGACTGAAATTTCTTTGACATATTATGTAGTTACAAATAGAACAGCATATCTCATGCCCAACTAGCGTAATCGGATCAAACCATATAATCTCTTACATTCTTCAAAAATATTCATAACAATAACAATAGCGTTTATTTCATATCTTGATTTGAAACAGAACAAAACGAAATAAGATATTACAGCAGTAACAACAGAGCGTGGCGTAATATGCATAACAATTACATCTGAGTCCGCCACAGTGTAGTAACACCATTAATTGTACACAAACAGTAATCGTCTAATTGGATAAGCAATATAACCAACTATTTATTATTACTGTATTATACTAATATTATAAAGCCTTTTTTGTTTGCTTGAACGCTTTAATCTCCAAAACTACTGAATCCAATTGAATAATTCTTTTTGTGTAGAAGAGCAGGAATTCTTAGGGTAGTTAGATGATATAACACACACAGGCGATTTTTAGGCCATGATTGACCTTTGCAGCATGAACTTCTACAAAAGTGAACAAAACACTCTCGAAAACAAAAAAAAAATACCCGATTACATTAAAAATCATTAAAAAATTTCCTTTTTGTAAAAATAAAGTTTAGTTACTGTGTCCCTATTTTTACACGTATGTGTTGTTTCGAAATAAAAGTTGCAGTAGCTTTTCAATTTTATAAAAACTAATTGGAATACTGGAAACGTGCCTCGAAGCCTGACGATTCCAGTTTTTTAATTGAATTTTCAAAAACTATCAACTGTCTGTAACTAATATTGACGGTTGGAAGCCATCTTGGTTTTGCATTGCGTTCTCAATTAAATAGAGGGTGTACGTTGAGGTGGGGCGCCAGTGTCAACGAAAGCGTTTTGTCCTTACTCTTCTTAGCATCGCTTCTAGAAAGAACTATACATTGATTATCTTTCCTGTCTAGTCTTTCATCCTGATTATCATGCCTGCTTAAGGTACAATGCCTACGTATCTTGGCGAATCTAAAGTTAACCGATAAGCTGCTCAGTACACAAGTTTGTTCCTAAAAGATCCATTGCGCAGACAAACGGCTAACTTCAGACTCGCCAAGATACGTCGGCCGCACTGTAGTTTTTAGATTGCAAAAATTGTGTGGACATATTTTGTCAAGAAGTTAACCATGCCATTGCTCTTAATGCAAGTGTTGTGGTCGGAACAGATCAGTACGGTTCTGACCTTGCATTTTATATAAACTACATACGCAACTCATTGTGACGTTTTATGGCAATGTGTGGTTTATGTGTTGTAGAATTTTGACGTGTTTAGTAATGCTAACGATTACGGAAATACACCTTACGGGATCACTTTACTTTATCTCATTTTGATAAAAGATATTGACTTGACTTTGCTGTTTTATTTTGAACTTTATTACAAAAAGGTAAAAGGTAAAATATCTCGAGTTTCAAATCAGATTTCAAATATCGCTTATCGCTAATCGCTATCAGGGCAACCGCGCCCTAGTTCCTACGAACTGTTGCCAGTAACATAATACTTATCTTGCAACGCCGTTTGCATTATTACAGCAAAGAACCTATTTATTTACAAGTTCTAATTGAAAACAAATTGACATTGCATTGAATGTCCATTAATTGGATTTCAAATGAAAACAGTGCAGATGTCTTTGACTGAGATGGTACTGAGAACTTACATTATAAAATTAATTGTAAAGTATGAGAGATTTTTATATAATTACTTATGGTTAAAGCAGCTTTGTATTTAGACGGAAAAGTTTTCGTTGCATCAAGATTTGATGTGTTTTTTCAAACTCAAATACATACAAGAATAAGGTCATGATTCCAACTATTTTCAGCTGTCTAATAGATAAAATACGATTTAGGTTGATAGTCTATTAAATAATGTGTAGTGAAATAAACAAAATTAATTGAAAAATTACTGTATACGATTAAAAAAGATAAATAAGGTCCTTTTCAAAAGGAGACGTTTGAAAACAACCCAGGCAGCGTCGAATTTAATTAAAATAACTGCAAAGCGATTCTGTGCCCTTTACATTCCACGCCTCTTTGTGCAGGAACAAAAGACGGACGCAGACGGGTGGCGGGCTTGTATTGCAAGTTTATTTAACCGGACACTAGCTTGCTTGCTGCGACTTCGTTCGCTTTGAGTTTCGAATATTTCTGTCAATTACGTTATGAAGAATTTCCATTTGTCATTTTAGAAATGGAGAAACAAATGAAATTGTATTTTTTTGTAGTAACTGTTCTTATAGTCAACTGGACTGACAAACAAATATTTTCTGTTAAGAGTACGTACAATAAATTTCATCCAATGCTTGGCTGACCATGATTGTTATGTGATATTTTACCCTATAGCCTCGACAAACGGATGAAAATATTTATTCAATTCGAAATATTTATTCACAATTCGTACCAGTCGTTCGGGAGATTACCGCATCCAACCAAAAAACAACCTCCTTAGTTTGATAATAATTTGCAAAGAATACTAAAAGGTTTCGACAACAGTCTATCGATGCATGAAAAGGGAATCTGAAACCGTACAGATGTAAGTGCATGGTAGATTTAAACGCACTATAATTAAAATTGTCGGTTGGCCTTTTATTTAAATTTAATCTGATTACTCGGTAGCCCTTAGGTTTCAAAAGCGTATTATTGATGTTTAAATTTCTGTGACTGTGTGGCCATATTAATTTCGTGGCAAAAGGTTTTTAATTATATCATACTTCCTTTAAGGGGTTGTTTCACAATAACTGAATTGCTTCTATGTACAAGACAGATATGTACATTTGAATATAAAAGGTTTTTTATATAATCTATACACCAAAATAGTACTTTAGCAAATATTTATTCTTAATAGAAGTAAAAAATCAGGAGGATATTGTCGTGCTTACAAATGCATTATTGAAAATTGCGATGTATTTCAATAGCGTTAAGAAATATTTTCCCGATAGATCTAAAAGAAAGAAATTTATATACCCCATCTTTAGATTTCTTGCACTTTATAACAAATACTTAGTTGTTATTATTTTAACAAGAAGCGATATAAAAGGCTTCGGCCAAAGTCTCGACTGGCTTACATAACTGCACTAGACACTAGACTAGCCAGTCTATAAAGTGATAGAAAGAGATATGCTCGGTAACTTTGCACCTTCTAGTTATATGACGTTATATCTGTGTAAACATTATTTTTAAAGTGTAACGATGGAATTTGTAATATATTTTGGGACGTATACTTAGTTTTACTTGTGGAAAGACTAACGTATAATCCAATAAAGACTTTTTTATGAATTAATTGATATAAATGCTTTGGCTTTGAAATACAAACTTTTAAAACTCCTCACCTCTTTCTGAGCATGGATCTTAAGGTATATTATGTGGAGAGGACTGGTACTAGTAATATCGCTGTGGGCTATAAGAAAGACTAGACTAGAGAATATAGACTTGAATTGCTAGGTAGACTCGAGCGATTTCACCAGCTGTTCCCATAGGTCGTAGCATGATTTTAAAAGTGTATAATTCTCACTATTCTCGATAATTGGACTATCTAACACAACATTTTAAAATTATAAACAGTAGTTTCGGAGTTCAGCGCGTTCAAAGAAACTCTTCAGCTTTATAATACTAACACTAACCAATATAGATATGATTCAGCCTACTGTTAGACATACAACCCACTCCCGTTACATTTCCGTGCGGAACTGTTTACATTTCTCTCTAGGTAATATTTATTGGACGCCGATAAATGAAAGCCTAGCTATTTAAATACAATACACACAACATACGTTTCCTATTCATTTATATGTGTGCTTTAAAAACGTATTGTCTAAGTAATTGAAGTTAAATTTATGTTTAGTTTTCGTTGACTGGATTATAAGACAGTACGGATGATTTCCAATTAATGTAAACTAATGGCGCCCTGTCCAAAACAGAAGGTGAAGCGGGCTGATTTTTAGTCAGTAAGAATATGTAACAAAGTGGGAGCCTCGGAGAGGATATTATCATCGGATGATTTTTGAACACTCAGCTTTAACTCATTAATCGCGATATTGATAACAGGTACGTTATGGCAGGGAAATCAAATGACTTGAATCAAACCTTTTTTGGATAAAAACTACCCCTTTCTCCCGTTCCTTGCCGACCCGGGGTACATCGTTGCGCTTACATTATCAAACCTAACAGATCAACAGCTTAAGCTATTAATGTAGATACAGCTAGACATATATGTATGTTTATTTAAAGCTTACCCAAGTAAAACAATCGAAACTGAAATTATGAAGTGAATATCAAAAGAAATATCTATTTATAATCTTGACCTTTGCATAAGCAGTCCATCAAATTCTATTTCTATCTAACCGGAAATTATTAGCGTGTCTGACCCGAGTCTTGAATGCAGATTCTTGTAATGCACTCAAGATTGTAGACTATTACACGGACACTTCAAATCTAGTTCAAGTATTTAAAAACAGACATCATCGTCATCACTAGACGTATTTTATTTATTGCCTACATGCGGATACAGACTAAAAAAACTGCAGCAGCGTGTTGCAGACTATATGTACCTAGATATATATATAATAATTAATTCAGTATATCAAATGTGTACTAATGACATTTTAAGAAAAGATTACCACGAAAATTTTCGTACGCAAAAAGAAATAATTCGGTATAAAAGATTCGTCAGCCAACGCGGAAACAGTAACCTTCCCTAATTACTGTCTCATTACATAACTATGACACAAGAGTACATAATGAGATTATTTATCGATCGCTCAATGAACAGATGTGTTGATTCCTTGATTACGTCATCACGTTACATTATCCACTTGGTGGGTTAGGCCAGCCTTATACTCGGCTCCGGTCAATATCTTGTAGGTAGGTAATTAGTCTTTTATAGGTACTTAATGGTTCTTTTGAAAAAACGGCCATTTGGATTCACCAAATTATTAACGATTAATTGTCACTCATAGACACGAAAAAACAATTTTTGGACACTTGTTTTGAGCGAGAATGGAACCTGTGACGCGGTATGTAACAATCATTAGCGTAAGCACGACGCCAATAGCCAATAGACTACCACAGATGGATCCCAATACTTAGCCGAGGTCGCGGGTCAAGCTCAATAAGATACCGCAACATCGGCCTGGATCAGGAGAAGGAACAGGGGGAGTCTTAGTCAATAAGAGTCTGACTCTCCCTTTAGCGGTACCCGGGGTGGGAGTAGTCATTTCTATTTTCCCTCCACAAAAAGTCACTACGTCACTAAAAGTATTTTAAATGACGAATTTTTTATGACTCGTGTTCACTGCACAGAAATGTTCAAGCTACTTGAATTTTATAAAACTTAATAACCTAATGACAGTAGGTATGCAGAGAAACGTCCCAACATGACAAAGGCACGTCAATCAATTGTCAAGTTTCTTGAGCATAATATTTTCAACTTTATTACAAAGACTTTCAGTTTAATGTTTGTTAAATAAAATTAGTTTTAAGGTTCTATTTTATATCGGTAAAATTTTCTTCGATTTAATAGTATTGGTAATGTCTCCTGACTAACTAAGCCATATATTTTTTCTATGCAAATCTCAACATTTGCATCATATATTTTTTTTTTAACAATTTCCATATTCCTATGTAATACCTTTTCTATAAAACAACAAAGCTCACATTTCCACGAAACGAATAAAGTTTCCGTATGACAAATTGATAAATATCTAACACATTGCGCAGAGAAAACACGACCTTACTGTGTTGATATCGACAAATAATTTACAACTCATACCTATTTTGACGAGACTCGTATTGTTAATATGTACAAAGATGAGATTTTATGTTGAATATGTCTCATTAGATACAAATAAGTTATTCTTAGAATTATTTTTCTTGCTTTAAATCTGTTCTTTGAAGGTTAGTAATTGGTATCTTTAGCACGAGTATAACTCCTGAGTTCTGACAACAGGTGTCGACGAAGATGGTGGTGATAGCATGTGACAAGAATTTTTTTATTATAACAGCTACTATCTATTAAAGATACTGGATATAGAATAGGATAGGCACAATCCAGGGTTGCGCGTGCAAGCTCAATAAGAGAAAAAGGAAGGGGTATAGTTCAGTCAGTTAGAGCCTGACGGCTTACTCAGTGTAGGAAAACTTATACAATAAAGTCAACCCTCAAAAATAAGAAATAAAGAGTTGAATTCATCGTCAATCGTTCGGTACAACCCGCACAGAATGTTTTCTTCCTGCGGGTCTCATAGGTAGATAGGAGAACAACTCCCTTTGATGAACCTAACCCTTACGATCTTCAATGGTATTTTGTAAAGATGGTCTACAACCGAACACCGAACTAACACTACAACAATGATGTACTTATAATAGAAATTACGAATTGAATTGAATAATTCTTTCTCTTGGCCTTTTCCCAACTGGGTTAATTACATCAAATGCAGCATGACTAATTTCCCCGCTACGCAATCTGATTAATGATTGGACCTGCCAATATCCTTGTTTGGGTAAGCAAAGGAGCACAGTAAATCTATTATGTTATGTAATTCATTTAGATACCCTTAATTGTTTTTATAAAAGAACTAACCTATTCGGATGTTTTAATTTTCGATCCTAATCGCAAACTTTACCTATGTTACTATTTAAGCCACATTTGCAAGTCTAAAAAAAAAAACAAAAATAAATGACTGGCAACTAGTAAGCTGACGTTTACGCCCACAAGTAATTATGCTAACTTTTTTTGCTATATCTAACGGTACGTTAATATTCTCGACTACATTCACTAATACGCTCTTTATAAAAACGATAAAAAAGTCTCGTCTCATTACGTCACAGCCTTGAACATTTCACAACTTATAACAATAGCCGAACTGATTCTAAATTCGAATGATGAATGAACGACTTTTTTTGAAAAAAGAACCATAATTTTCTTTTTTTCTATTACGTTTGTCTTTGAACTTGAATTTCGTTGCATCATGTTTATTGTTCAAATTGCTTGCATTTTTTATTTGTTTTGTATTGACAATGATCGTAATAGTATGGTCGTTTGTGGTTCTTTTTTGCCACTTAAGTATCGGAATGAATGAGAGTTTTTTTTATAATAAAAACGACTTAGTAAACAAACACAGTACGTAAGTTCTTTGGAATGAGATTTGACTTTAAAACTTAAAATGTTTCTTTCTATTTGAATAGAAACATCGCGATAATATCGTCTGGTATTTTACCCTGCACTACAAAATTACTAAGAAATTAATTTTGTAAAATGTACTCACTGTCCGCCACCGCCGGGGGTTGGAGAAGCAACGACGACGGCTACCAGGAGGGAGAAAAGCTGTCAAAGAAAATAATTTTCCATAAGTTAGAAAAGATCTGATAGCGGTGTAGGGAAATATGAATAACAAACTTAAACATCTACTGCACAAAGATGTAAAAAATATAAATTATCTCTCAAAAACACTGAATCTCATTCAAATGTGCATTTAGTAAATGTTTCCCGCCATAAATTTTTCACAAAACCCAACAATTAAATAGCGAAACACTTTTATCACAAAACACTGCGCATAAAAATGTTGGAAACAATTTTTGACGGAAAAAGAAACTGTAATTTTTTTTATAATAAAATAAATTATTAAATTATTTTTTGTGAACTCACAGCGAGTTTCGCGTACATCTTGCTTGGTTAGCTGGACTGATTCCGTATTACACTTTGCCTGTCAAGACTGGCTTACTTTCTACTCCTCTGAGCGCACCACAAGCTTATATACTCGTTGGTTTGCAAGTCCAAGAATTGCATAATCTTGCCCCTTAGTCCATCCCTACTAGCCCGTTTTACCCGGCGAATTTAGAAAGGTAGCACATTCGTGGAGATTGCTCGTAGAAAGGCCACTTTACAATCAAGTGGAGTAGCCACAGGTGGGGTGGGCTATCGAGAACAGTCACTCGGTTCTTTAGTTCTATATTTTTTGAAGTGACAAAGTGAGGTTAAATGTGTGACAAGTGTTTTTGGGTCTATTTTGCCGTTGATTCCTTTGAGTTATTTTTTTTTTATTTGAAATGTAACTACAACTTGAGTTCGTACCGCTCATTATCATAGTTTAGATGTTTAAGATATTTTCAGTGTAGAACATGTGTAAGTTTTATTAATTTTCATTTATGTAAGTGCATATGTAATAAAAAATTATGTGTAAAAGTATTATATGGTTTTCCAATATCTGTCTAATTTTTACTATTCATGTAATAATTATTATGTGCCTACAAAATATCTACATAATTTTTAATAAACTCGTAACTTTGTAGGTTCGATTACTTATATATGATGCACCTAACATTATTATGTGATACATTATTAATTTATTTATCTATATTTTATATGTTTTTTATTGCAACTGCGAATACAGTAAGCTGTGAGCGAATGTGTTTGTTTTTATTACCCTAATAGTCAATCCTTTTTTGTGTTCTTTTTTAATTTTCTTTTAAACGTAATTTATTAGCTGTGTCATTCCACCTCATTGGCTTATGTTGTGTATTGCCAGCATTATAAGTAGGGATTATTTTATTTCCTGGATCGTTAGGAAAATAGTACTTTCTCTAAATTGAGTAAATTGATAGTTGCAGTTCTGTGAGCTTCGTTAAAGCGATAGGCGACATGACAGTTCTGAGTAATAGTGTACAATTGATACTATTACTATTGTGACTTCGGGATTAACGTAATTTGAGTGACTCCGAGTTTCATTAACCAGCATAATTGACAGGTACCTGTTCCTGATAGTCAGTTACTGTTCCAGGCCCTGCTTTATATGCATAAAGGTTTGCGTTCCTGGTCGCAATTATAATAGGATCTCTTTAAAGTATTCTGACACCCACGGGAAGATTAGGGTAACTAAATTTAAATGTAGGTACTCTCCTTTGCCGTCACATAACACGATAGTCATGGTCACAGTGGATGAGCCTATTTCTATAGGTATTTTTTTATATTATAGTAAAGCAATCAAGCTGTCATATTACCTGAAGGTAAGCAATGCCGCCCAGGGCCTCCGCAACGCTAGAGGAGTTACGAATGCATTGTCGGTCTTTTCGGGATCGTAGGTGTAGGGATGGGGGTACGGGAAGCCACAGCGCGAAACCTAAGGCTGTGGTTATTTCGCGCCGGTTTTCTGTAAGCCTGCGGTATAACTCCGGTTGAGCCGATGCGTTAGACGATGCTCTACTTGACAACCGCTCCAACAATGAGACAGGTAATTTGTACAAGACAACAGAATATTAATGTTTTAGTGCCCTGCTTTTTATGCATACAGTTTCGAAGGCTGACAAGTGCCAATGTGAGTTCTAGCGAAATATATGTACCTACCCTCTTAGTCTGTACTAATATTATAAAGAGGTAAAATTTGTAAGTTTTTATGTTTGTAAGTTTGTATGTAGGGAACCGCTGGTCGGATTTCAAAAATTCTTTCACTGATAGCTACAATGTTCCTGAGTGCTATAGGCTATAAAACATCACGCTACGATTAAATGGAACCACGCAGCGGGTGAAACCGCGCGAGAGTAGCTAGTTTATTATATATTTATATACACACGCCCTAAGGAACTTGGCATTATAATTTCAAATTTAAGCTAATTACTTGGTGATGATTAATGCTCAAACCACTGCTGCTGCTGTTAGCCAAAGGTGTCTTCTCACACGCACACGGAGAACGTGTGAGAAGAGGCCTTATTTAGCAGTGGAAAATTGTAGGCTGATGCTGATGATGATGGACAGAGTATCATCATTGTGTCATTTCTCAAAGAAGCAAATAAATGTTCTTTTGTTTTTCTAACCTTGAGTTTTTTGCCTGTGCCGTGGGTGCGTTTACAAACATACCATTAAACATAGACATCACACCCAGAGACCTGGGACAACAATTTGTGGATCAAATCTGGGACCATAATTTTGTAGGTTCCGTGCGGGAATCGGACCCGCGACACGTTGCGCTGCAACCAGTTGCCCAGCCACCGCGCCAACCGCATGGGTAGTCAATTTCGTCTGCCTAATTTAATTTTGAATGTAAAAGTCTATGATTTTAAATTAATACTTAAATCGCCCCTAGGAACTTCAGAGTGACTTGTCTGTCAGTCTATTCGTTATTGCGAAAGTGTATCGTTTACAGTTCCCAGATCCTCAATACCAGACAGTAAAAATGACACAATATGTAACACAAATTGATATATCGAGATGCAGTCGGATCCGATGCAACACGAAAACGGCTTTATTTATATGTCTTTACGTAACAAATTCGTTATTTACCTAGATATTTATTTGAGTGGAATAAAATATAATATGACTAAATAGAAAAAGAAGAAATAAATCATTTTATTGCAAATTAAACTTTATGTAACGATAATAATAAATCATTTGCATTAAAAAAGCACCTAGGTTTATTTGCAAAAAAATTATTATATTATTAGATGTTCATAATTTTTAAGCAAAAAATCATGCCGGGAAGAAAGAGAAAGAACAGAAGTGCAAATATTATAATTTCTTAAATAATTTATAATAAAATTTATAAATTCATTATCTCAGACAAGGCAATATAGCCGACTGGATCTAGAACCGTGACGTTATGCGCAAGAGTTTCTTCTATAACGTAAGTCTAGTTCAAATTAGGAAATATATTTTCAAAATTCCACACGAGATATTTTTAAGTAACGATCATTGCTTATTTAGATTTTTAAGAATTTAATAATTTTATTAAGCTGATGATGATGCTCGTTTGGTATTTATGAACTCCGCGTAGATTGAAGTAGTCTGACTGAAGTATTAATTGACTATTAAGTAATTACACACTACTTTTGGCTCTAAGTTAGGGCAAGAGGATAAGACAGATCAGATCTTTCTATTTAAAACCCACCCCTTATTCTTCTACTGTTCCAAGCAAGGCTTGGCTTAGCTTGGCCTTGGCTTCAATACTTGCAGTTGCAACCCTGACTGGAAATCGGCTCAAGTTGGTCCCATCAGTGGTAGTCTGATGGCTATTGGAGTGGCGAGAACGCGACGCGTTGGGCTTTTGGTTCTGTTACTGGTCGGTTCGAGTGGGCGGCTGGTTGCTAGTTGTACTGAATTTATAGTAGGTACAATTAAAATTGTTCGTTAGTAAACATTACATAAACAGTGCCTACTTAAAAGACATCATATTCTCCTCTCCTACACTCAGAAGTCTATAATTATCAAAACATTAGTAATTTCTTAACTGGAATTAAATAGAATTTAAATCCATCCCTACAACTTACATTAGCAAAACAAATTAAAACCTCCTTTACACTAAAGAATGCATCGTTTCCTTATGCATTGCATCAGTAGCAACTGATTACCATGGACACTGCAGCCCGAGACTAGGTGTCACCAGCCTTCCAAACCTATGCATCATTCATTAGATTCAACTCAAATTTATAGACTACGCTTTGGATTACACAGACAAAGTGGTTCTGTACTTCAAATATTTAACTTTGTTTGCCTAGATGATATTTTTGCTGTATTCAAAAAGTTATAGATAGTAAAATCATTTATTTCAATTAGACCACTATACAAAATAAATATAATAAGTGCGAAAGTAACCATGTTTAGATGTTTGTTACTCAACCACGCCAAAACAACTGGACGGATCTAGATGAAATTTGGCACAGGCATAGGATACCCTCCGGAATAGGACATGGGATACTTTTTATCATAATACGACGTGGATGAAGGCGCGGGCGGAAGCTAGTTAAATATTAAGTGTTAGTCTGCCGCTCAGATCTTTAGTAAACTTATTTGCTCGTTTTAAAGTGTATCTAGATTCATATGTATGTCTTTAGGTACATAATATATTATATTCCTACTTATGTAACAAACACCTTAGACATCAATTAAGAGCCATTTATGATTGACACTTAGTAATAAATTACATAGTCGGAAGATTGCACGCAATGTTTTTAAACGAGTAGCTCGATATTTTTTGTTGGGACAAAATCTTTAAATGTATTCCAGAAAGTCTTTCGAAACTCTCTCTCTCTCTCTCTAACTCTCTCTCTCTCTCTCTCTCTCTCTCTCTCTCTCTCTCTCTCTCTCTCTCTCTCTCTCTCTCTCTCTCTCTCTCTCTCTCTCTCTCCCTCTCTCTCTCTCTCCCTCTCTCTCTCTCTCTCTCAGACTCTTACTGACTAAAACTAATATGTTCCTTCTTATGCCATTATTGCACTTGCTCCGCTATCAGGTACCCGATCAAATTTTAATGTTGAAGTAACGTTTTAGTTTTATTTATGTCGATCTACACTTTCAGGGGAATCGATTGACTGCACGGTTGGTGCGGTGGCTGGGCAACTGGCTGCCGTGCAAGGTGTCGCACGGAACAACTCTTTGTGTGATCCACAAATTGTTGTTCCGTGACTTCCCGAATCCCGGGTCTTTTCTGAAATTGTATGTTTACCCCGCGACACAGTTAAAACCCTAAAATGGGGCAACGTAATAAAATAAAATGACAATCATAGATAAGTGGATTATAAAAATCAATGAGCGTTTGACCACAATGCTTAATCAATATAATCATGAGCTTATAATAGCCAGTGTCGTACTTGCATTTTCTGGCTCGCAAACGCGCGACTTGTTGCCTAGCAACAGGTTAGTCACTCCGCCAACAGCGCAGTAACCTCCTTCTTTGCTCAGAATAAAATCTAATTTATTGGTTTCTGTATTCTAATATGGTTGTATTATAAGTATGGT